TTTCTTTTGGAGCATTTAAGTTTTAGTATTGATAAGCTGCTTTACTCTTAAAAAAAAAATGTCTAGTGTATGCTAGGTAGTGCTGGGGAAACCAAGTGGAATTACTCATGATCCCTGGACTCAAAGACTTATTTATACACTAATTAATATATATCATATTACACACACACACACACACATATTCATTAATATGCTAAGGGATATGCATAAATAATGGTGAACATGAAAATGAAAATTCTAAAACAGGGCGAGTACAATAGTGGAAGTCTTCATGGAAGGGTTGATGTTTGAAGGGGTCTTAAAAAGAAGAAAGGCAGCCGAGTGCAGTGGCTCACGCCTGTAATCCTAGCACTCTGGGAGGCTGAGATGGGTGGATTGCTCAAGGTCAGGAGTTTGAAACCAGCCTGAGCAAGAGCGAGACCCCGACTCTACTATAAATAGAAAGAAATTAATTGGCCAACTAAAAATATATAGATAAAAATAGCCAGGCATGGTGGTGCATGCCTGCAGTCCCAGCTACTCGGGAGGCTGAGGCAGCAGGATCGCTTGAGCCCAGGAGTTTGAGGTTGCTGTGAGCTAGGTGACGCACGGCACTCACTCTAGCCTGGGCAACAAAGCGAGACTCTGTCTCAAAAAAAATATAATAAATAAATAAAAACAAAAAGAGGAAAGGCTTTGAGAGGAGAACAGGAGTGCCAATTATGACTGATATTCCCCAGATATACATCTCTCTCTTATTTAATAATTGCCAAGGAATTCAGGGCAGTTTTATGAATTGTTTTTCAGAAATTCATGCTTACAGCACCCCATGAAGAAGAATTGTGATGTATAAAAGCTAGAATATGTTCTAAAAGTGACTGGGCTGGCCTTGGTCACTGGCAGGTTATTATCTGTTCTCTCCGAGAACATCTTCCAAAAGAGAAAACAAAAATCCTCCACATATCGAAACTTCAAAGTCTCCCATTCTCTGTTGGGTAAAGGGATGTTAGGCACCCACTCAGGGCAGCCAGACCACTCTGGGTGTTATATTCTTTGCCAGTCAGGCCTCAGACCATATGTCACCTCCTCTGGGAGGCCTTCTGTCACTAATCTTTGCAAAGCAGTCTCCTCCACAGCACTGAGACTACCTGAAATTACCTGGAGTATAACTTTACTGTGTGTCTCCTTACCTCTAAGCTTTGATCCTATGAGAGGGCACAGGCTGTGCTGTCTTGCTTTGTCCCATAGTGTAGAACAGTACCTGTAACTAGTCCTGGAGTGGTAGGAACTCAATAATCATGTGCAGAATGAATAAATACGTTATTTCATTTAATCCTCATTTTAAAAACCCTCAAGAAAAAAAGAAACCCTTAAGAGAGATATTACTCTCCCCTTACAGATGAAGAAATTAAACTCAGAGAGGTTGTGTAACATCCTAAGATCATGATATGCCTAGCAAAATGGTAGCGTGATTGAGAATGTTGATTAAATATTTAATTAATGCTTGTTGGATGACGGCATGAATAAATTTCCAGTGTCGATATTACATTTCTGGCAAAATAATAACTACTGTCTTTCCCATAGGGTAAAGATTGCACAAATTTGTATTGCCTTACTAGGGTGTTTGGCAGGTGCTGTCCTTTTTCTTTGCTGTGATTTCCACCTTGGCTGTCAGAGGAGTGGGGTTTATTTGGTAGTCCTGCAGTAATGATGGTAGGGGCTGCGGCCCTGAATCCCCTCCTTCATCAAGCCTAATTGCAAATGGTCCTAGTTTTTATTAGCTTTAATTGACTAGTGTAGGAACAGAGCCCATATCAGTGGATTCAATGGTATGTGCAGGGTAGGAGATGGAGTAAATAATGAAATCGTACTTATGTTATGCACATAGGTCTTGGAAGAGGACTAATTTTTGTCTTGCTTTGGCTTCTTCTAATCTTAATTGCAACTAAGGAATAAGCCTCACCCACCAGCTTCAGTGACTTTAGCAGCAGTAAACATGGTAGTGATAGATCAAGTACTCTGCCTCCTCACTTAAAAAAAACAAAACTAAAAATCAGAACACCTCTGTAAGAGTGGTTGGCTACACCTGTGGGCTGTTGGCTTTCTCTAGTTTATTTTCTTTTACATTAGAGATTGTCTGCTTATAAATTGAATCTTTTCTGATCTTTCTTCTGTTTTCAGTTGCAGTTCCAGTAGAAAAAACAATATCCAGTGAAAAAGCATCAAGCGCTCCATCTGCTGAGGCTCAAGAAGAATTTGTGGATGACTTTCGAGTTGGGGAGCGAGTTTGGGTGAATGGGAATAAGCCTGGATTTATCCAGTTTCTTGGAGAAACCCAGTTTGCACCAGGCCAGTGGGCTGGGATTGTTTTAGATGAACCTATTGGCAAGAATGATGGCTCAGTGGCAGGAGTTCGGTATTTCCAGTGCGAGCCTTTAAAGGGCATATTTACCCGACCATCAAAGTTAACAAGGAAGGTGCAAGCAGAAGATGAAGCTAACGGGCTGCAGACGACTCAGGCTTCCAGAGCTACTTCTCCTTTGTCCACATCTGCAGCCAGCATGGTGTCCTCCTCCCTGGCCACTCCCTCAAATATTCCCCATAAACCGTCCCAACCAGCAGCAAAGGAACCTTCAACTACATCTCAGATCAGTAACCTTACAAAAACTGCCAGTGAGTCTATCTCCAACCTTTCAGAGGCTGGCTCAGTCAAGAAAGGAGAAAGAGAGCTCAAAATTGGAGACAGAGTATTGGTAAGTGGAGAAATGTCCTGAGGTCATTGTGTTGAATTGAGAAACAACCACCAATGAGTGGTTGAAATATACACATGGGACCTCCTTGGCTCAGAATCTGTTCTGAAGGGATGACTCCTCATTTATAGAGAAGTTAATGAGCTTTTCTAGTTCAGTTTATGTGTAAATATGCAACAAATTAGAAACTTGCTCTATAGTTTGTATATAGTATTAGCATGAGCATAGAGTTGCAATAGTCTACTCTAGTTTTATCTACCAGTTTAGCCAAAAGAGAAGAATATTGAGTTTATAATTTGTAAATATTAAAGTAACCTTACTTGACAAAGCAAGATCAAAAATAGACTTAGATGTGTTTATAAAACTTTGATTTTTTTTTTCCTTATGGTTTTTAGTTTTTGCTTTAAGGGTAGAGTGTGGGTGGATACGAGATTGTGCTTCCTTAAATGTCTCGGAAAACTCAAGACGTCAGAGTGTTATTTCAGAATTTCTGGGCCTTTTATTTTTTATTTTTTTTAATTTTTTTTTTGAGACAGAGTCTCGCTTTGTTGCGCAGGCTAGAGTGAGTGCCGTGGCATCAGCCTAGCTCACAGCAACCTCAAACTCCTGGGTTCAAGCAATCCTACTGCCTCAGCCTCCCGAGTGGCTGGGACTACAGGCATGTGCCACCATGCCTGGCTGATTTTTTCTATATATATTAGTCGGCCAATTAATTTTTATTGATAGTAGAGATAGGGTATCGCTCTTCCTCAGGCTGGTTTCGAACTCCTGACCTCGAGCAATCCGCTCGCCTCAGCCTCCCAGAGTGCTAGGATTACAGGCGTGAGCCACCGCGTCCGGCCTCTGGGCCTTTTAAATGATCAGATTTAGATCTAGGAAGAAGAAAGAAATGTACAGTAGTTTCTGTTTTACTAATAAGCAGGAAACACAAGGTATAAGGTCTATATGCTGTACATTCTAGAACCTCTGAATTTATAACATAATGATTGATTTTTTTTTATTAAAAGAGGGACAATGTAACAGTGCTAAGAACCCAAACTGACTCCTAGCTTTGCCTTTGTGACTTCAGTAAAATGTTTAACTTCTAGTGTCCTAATCTGTAAAAGTGAGGTGAATAATAATACTAACCTCATTGCTTTGTTTTGAGGATTAAATTAGATAATGCATATAAAATTCTTAGCAATGCCTGGCACACAGTAAACATTCAAGAAATAATAGCTATTTTATTCATTTTTAGAACAAAAGTACCATTTTAATGAGTATGTGTGTGTGTGTATTTTTCCCCCTAGCAACAAGGCCTTTCTGTGTTGCCCAAGCTGTACTCAAACTCCTGGGCTCATGTGAACCTCCCACCTTAGCCTCCTGAGTAGCTGGGACTGTAGGCATATGTCACAATGCCTGGTTTTTGATGAATATTTACATTTCACTCCTTTTTTTTTTTTTTTAAAGAGACAGAGTCTCCGGCCCAACCTTCTGACCTCATTCCCGCCTTCTCATTCCCCTTTCTTGGTCCACTCCAGCTACACTGGCCCTGTGCTATTTCTAAACAACCCAGGTACATTCCCACTTCAGGATTTGTTTCTTCTGCCTGGAATGTTCTGCCCCCAGGTTTTTCTCAGGATTGCTGCCTTATAGTTGTTCAAGTCACGGTTTAAATGTCACCACCTCGGGGATCCTTTCCTTGGCCATCCCAACTACAGACACCATCGGCAGCACTATCACACTACCTTATTGTGTTTTTTTCACAGCACTCTTCACTATTTGAAATTATCTTTTATTTATTTACTTATTTTCTATTTCTTTCTGACCAGAATTTAAGCTCCACAAGAGCTCAGAAGCTTCCTGTCTCATTTGCTATCATATTCCCAGCACTTGGACAGTGGCTGACACATAGTAGGAACTCATTAGATATTTTTGAGAATCGGAGGTTGAGTTCAGTCATCACATTATATCCTTAGAGGAGTAAAATTGTAAAGTATGACAACCAGAGGTAGAATGAGGACCAGTGAAGGTTTTACCTTTCTGTAGGAGAGTTCCCCCCTGGAGCTGCTGAAGCTGGACTGGCTCTGTGCTTGCCGTAGTGTGAAGCACCTGTGTGGGCTCTCGTTTCCCAGGTGGTTAGGTTTTAAGTGAGGGCTAAATTTATATTTGGCAAATACCAGTTAACCATATTTAGTTTTATTTATTTATTTTTGAGACAGGGTCCTCACTCTGTCACCTGGGCTAGAGTGCACTGGTGTGATCATAGCTCACTGCAGCCTCAAACTCCTGGGCTCAAGCAGTCTTCAGCCTCCGAAGTAGCTGGGGCTACAGGTGTGCACCACCATGCCATGCTAATTTTTAAAAATTAGCCTTATTTGGCACCTGACTGATCCCAGGCGCACAGTGCACATGTGTGGAAAGCACCCCACACTCTCCAATGACCTGAGAAACAGCAAACTGGCCACCTGTTTAAAAAGTTTGAGGACCACCAAAACCAATGCTGGGGCTAATTTTTATAGAGAATGGGGGTCTTGCTCTTGCTCAGGCTGGTCTTGAACTCCTGACCTCCTTCTTCAGCCTCTGAAGTGCTAGGATTATAGGATGAGCCACCGTGCCCAGCCTATATTTGGTTTTTAAAATAAGCTGTTATTCTAATAACTTAGAATAAGGCAGATAAGAGTCCACCTTACAAAATTTTGTTGCTCACAAGATTCCTGTGAAACAACCCCCTCATTACCACTCACTGGACATTCTATAGCTTCATAAATCAAGGCACAGTGAGATGAAACGGCTTGTAACACCCAGTAACGAACAGATGAGAGAGTCCGGACAGGATAAATGTTGTGGTTTCTTGTTTGTAAGCCCATTTGTTAGCCCAGCAGAGTTGATCAGTCTTTTTTTTTTTTTTTTATTTTTGTTACAAGAGCTTACAGGAAGGTATTTGTCTTTGTTCCTACAACATTTTGTAGAAATCTTTTGAAGCAATTACCATTTTTTACAGGAATTATTTGTCTGAATTTCTCTTTCCCCCAGTGGCCAATACTGTATTCTGTTGATTTTTGTATTCCAAGAGCCCAAACACTCAAGAAATAGATAATGAATGAATGAATGAATGAATGAATGAATGAGAATTTTAAAATCTGAGATTTGCTAAAGCATGAAAATAGTAGCTACGTTTTCCATTAGTTGAGTTTCTGGTTTAAATTAATTTTGTCTCCAGTAGTAATTTCTACTTCTGTTTTAGATGGATCAGTGTTAGGAGTTACATGTTCGTATTCTGAGAATAAAGAGAACGAAGTGTAGTTACTTTGTTTGCCATGGGAACATATGCTTTTGTTTTTTGTTTCAATGTTGAAACTGTTTTTCCTTAATAATCTTAATATCTGTCTTTGGAGCATAGATTTCTTAGGTATAATTTGAAAATAGTGGCTTATATTTAATGTAAATGCACATACTAGAATGTTCTATATTCTCTGGAACACATGAGAAGTAAAATCTAACCTTTACAAGGTCATATTTAAATGTTTAAAAATTTTTTTGACTGTAGAATGATTAAGTAAAAAATTATTTGAGTGACTGAGTGATTTTAGGACTTCAGGTGACTTTCTATCTCTGTTGAAGGTATTTCAAATAATTATTGTTCTTTTACAGGGAAAGGGAAAGTATATTGTCTGTTTTATGAGTCAAAAATTCCAAGTTTGGTACGAGAAAAAATATAAGAAAGCTTCTCATTCTAGGAACTAGTAATGGAAACTAGTAATCTATTTCAAACAAACGTGGCATGCTATATTTTTTTTCTCATGGTACATGTATAGTATATTACCTGCATTTAGAGAAATAGTTGCTAATCTCTTGTGATTATTTTTTATAAAGCTGATCTGAATGAAGCCTGTGGTTTGCTTGGAAAATTACTGACCGCAGCCTGTTAGATGCCTCTTGGAAAAACCATTGTCATGACAGTAACAGACTCACCCCCAAAGAATTCAACAGATTATCCAAAGAGATTGCATCATCTTTAACACGCTGGTTCTACTCATGTGATGTTGGTTGTATTGCTGCTGTGGATGGTGTGGTATGAGAGGAAAGAGGACACTGAGGCCAGTTTTATATATGTGACTACTTCTAGATTCCATGAATACCAACAAGAGTACTGACGAGTCCAATGTGCCAGATCTAGAACTAGGACTCTCGCCAGCATGGGCAAACTAGCTGCTAACATATGTCATGGTCTTATGCTGTGTCGAGCAATTTTATGTGGATTATCTTAATCCTCACAATAGTCCTAAATTACCCTGATTTTACTAATGAGGAAACTGAGATTTAGAAGGTAAATAAAAAATTTGTTCCATCCTCAGCCATAGGATGGATATCCTGGTTCTTTTACTTGTGTTTACATAGAAGTTTTTTCTATGGAAGCCCCACCTGAGAAGGTCACCTTTCATTTGTTTTGCAAATGTTTGTTTCATTTGTTCTGCAAATGCCTACTCTGTGCTCTGCTGGCATTGCACATGGCACTGATGAACACAGCAGTGTGCCCACCTATCCTCCACCTCCAGCCTTCCTCCATGACACCTGTCATGACACCAGGACGGTGTGTAGTATCCCAGAGCTCTCTCACCTTTGTCATGCCCTTCCTGCCTAGACCACCTTGAAAGCATTACTTCATGCCTGTAACCAGTTTCACAAAAAAGTTTTTTTTTCCTCTCAAAAGAAATTGTATAAAGATTTGAAACTTTTAACATTTTCCATCTTCAATAAAGGGTTAAAGAAAGCTGGGGAAAATGCATGTCATTCCAAACTTAAAGTTATAGTCTGAAAAAGATTATAAACAAATATCTTTAGTATTGAAAGACTAAAAATAAACTTAGTATTGATGTTAAAAAATTCGGAATAAAAAAACTAAGTAGGAAAAAGGAAATAGTAAAAATGAAAAATAAATATAATAGAGAACACCAAAAACAAACAGGAAGGGAAGAATCTAAAAGCTAGTTCCTTGTAAAGACCAATAAAATAGATAAATTACCTTCCAAAGGTATTGTAAATTGAGCACAATCCCATTAGATTTTTTTTAGAATTAGCCAAATGATTTTTTTTTTTTTTTTTGAGACAGAGTCTCACTCTGTTGCCCAGGCTAGAGTGCTGTGGCATCAGCCTACACATGATTAAATAAACTTGTTTAACCTAAATGGCTATTGGCAGGGCTGTTTTATTAATAATAAACTAGAATTCACCCATATTGGGAAATGACATGCAATTGTACAAACAAAAAAGGATGTTGTCTGTGATCTGATATGAAGTAAGCAAGGTACTGAACAGAGCATGTAGTGTGTATATGTTATTGCTTTCTATGAGTGAAGATGTAAAGGAAGGATGAGAAAATATACTAATTGTTAAAGTATAGGGATTATGAATGGATTTTGTTTTCCTTTAATGATTTAAGAGTTCTATTTTTATAGCAAATATTTATTTTGGAGCAGGAAAATTCCTCTGGAGTAATAAAGCATTTTTCTAAGAAAGGGAATAATTAATTAGTGGATGGCCTTAATGACTTCATACTTCATAGCCTGTTTCATTATTGGGATATATCAGGTATTGAATCACTCTGGTAATATAAGTCACTGATGTTAACTTTGTTAGTCTTCCTTCAGGAAAACTCTAGAAGAGCTGAAGAGAAGGTAAAGCAAAGAATCTGCTAGTGGAAATGATAGAATGGAACTTAATATTAGTTAGAACCACAAAGAATGAAGCTATAGAATTATGTTCATCGCTTCATTTTAATGTCTTTGTCTTCCAGGTTGGTGGCACTAAAGCTGGTGTAGTCCGGTTTCTCGGGGAGACAGACTTTGCAAAGGGAGAGTGGTGTGGTGTGGAGTTAGATGAACCTCTTGGGAAGAACGATGGTGCTGTTGCTGGAACAAGGTTTGTTTAGAATTGCTCAACATCTTGTCTCTTGCATGTGAAGATGCTGAAGCAGATCTCATCATATGTGTATAATAAAATGGAAATGAGTGTTTTAAAGAGCTGCATGTTTCTTTTTCTTTCTTTCTTTTTTAAGAAAAAAAAACAGGGTCTCTCTCCTTTGCCCAGGCTGGAATATAGTGGCCTGATCATAAGTTCACTGCAGCTTCAAACTCCTTGACTCAGGCAAACCTCTTGTCTTAGCCTTCCAAGTAGCTGGGACTACTGGTGCATACCACCACACCCAACTAATTGTTTTATTTTTGTAGAGATGGGGTCTTGCTATACTACCCAGGCTGGTCTCAAACTCCTGGGCTCAAATGATCCTCCCACCTCAGCCTCCCAAAGTGCTGGGATTATACTCGTGAGTGACCGAACCTGGCCACAACTGCACTTTTATTTCCTAAGACCCGTCTACTGATTTTTCTCCCGTTGGAATTGGAGTTTTTTTTTTGACTGTCTCTTTAGTATAATGTGCAGTATATATGAGTAGATTCTGAACAAACATTCAGTTTATTTTTAAAAATAGAAAGTATTATGTTATCCTTCTGGCTTCTCTCCCTTTTGATAGCAGTCTACCTCTGAAATAGTACCTGGGCATCTAGGAGTGGGGGTGTCCAGGATGGAAGCATGGGTAGAAGGTAACTACCTTTGTTAGGAAAAGAACTTTAAAATGTGTCTTCATATCTGATAAGAATTCTATCCTGTGACTGGCAAGCCAACCAGGCAACCTCTTCCGTTTTAAGGACAACCCCATTCTCAACCTCATTCTTGCCTCCTAGACACAGAATAGAAGTCAAATAATGCAAACAAATAACGCAAGAGGAATTCCCCACACTTTTCAAAATGTTTTGAAGGCTTTGGGCACAGGTGTAGTATATATGATGCATTAGTAGTAGTAATATATAGTATTTTAATGCATCACTTGATTATTAAAGTGTTCTAGTTAACATTTATAAAACATACACAAATTGATTATAATCATATGGGCTTACCAACAAATGCAATAATAATGACTTACAGAGATAAAAATCTCCTGGTGCAGCAGTGATAAGCCTTCCCTCTTAATATTAAAATGTTGTAATTCTTGAGAATCATAAGATTGCCAATGTCAGTCTCATAACTGACATTGCTAGTTAATATTTCTCCATGTCACTTCAGTGGATCTGCCAGAGTTAGGTTTTTGTCTGATTTCTTTTTCTCTTTGTTTGGCTTGGTTTTATGACGTGGTATCAGGATATTGCTAAACTCCTCTGCTGTATGCTTATCAGATGGTAGAAATACTCCCTCTGCATAGACCCTCAGTAACAAATGAGCAATCCGACTCTGCATATCACATTGTTATTAGTGTGTTTTCTGAAACATCATTGAGGTTATTTATTAGCCTCCATGCATGTGAATGGTCGAGTTCCCTCCCAGCAAACCAGTTGCAGGTTGGAAGAGCTTTTGGTTATAGTTGCTATTTCTTATAATTCAGTTGGTTTTTCTTATACTCTTATTGTTCTCTAAAGGTATTTTCAGTGTCAACCCAAATATGGCTTGTTTGCTCCTGTCCACAAAGTGACCAAGATTGGCTTCCCTTCCACTACGCCAGCCAAAGCCAAGGCCGCCGCGGTGAGGCGAGTGATGGCCACCACGCCTGCCAGCCTGAAGCGAAGCCCTTCTGCCTCCTCCCTCAGCTCCATGAGCTCGGTGGCCTCCTCTGTGAGCAGCAAACCCAGCCGGACAGGACTAGTAAGCTGCCCTTTCCTCATTACCTGCCTCTGTTTCCCGGGCGTGACAAATGCCCGCTGTCAGGGCACCTGCTTTGCTTGTCCTTGTGCTAAATGTTGCTTATAGCTTGCTGTGAAAGTCCTTGCAAGTACGTTTTGAAATATATAACTCCAGAAAGATAGGGAAGGGGTTTTAATAGACATTTTCAGAGTTTTAAAGGTTGAAATATGTACCAGTTCTTGGTGACTCTGTAGTAACTACTGCTTCGCCTGACATAAGGGATGAATTCTTTTCTCTGAAATCATTTTGGGTCAAAAATGACAGGAAAATTGGAGGGATCCCTTTCCTCAAATACCTTTGACTTCAGACAGTTTTAGGAACTCAAGTATTTTCAGTAAAGGTGTGTTCTTAGAATCCTAATGTTGTATTAATACAGTCTCACCTGCTGAAAGCAGTTAATGTGTGGGGCATTCCTGACTTGGGCCGGAGGACACAGAAGGAAACTTCTTTTAATTTTAATTTATTTTAAAAAATTTTTAAGTGATAAAATAATAATTGTGGACATTCGTGGGGTACACAGTGATGTTTCCATACATATAATATGTAGTGATCAGATCAGGGTAACTAGCATATCCATCAAGTCAAACATTTATCATTTCTTTGTGGTGGCAAGAAGGGACCTTCTGGAACTTGAGAAGGATACAAGGAAAAGCCGTGTTGTGTTTTGTTTCTTCTTTTCATCTCCTCCGGTTCCTCTTCTGCTCTCCTTCTTTTTCCCATTTAGAGCAGTAAAAATAGAATCATCAGAATTAAAATAGGCAACTCCTCATTCTGTGTGTTAACGTGGTATTTTATTAGGGTGAAAAGCCCTGTCCTTAAGCTTATTTACTTGAAGTGAGGCAAATGCTGTTTAAATTAGAACTGGCAGCATAAGATCCTTCTCCAGACTGAATGGAGATCTCTGCTTTGTGATGGCGAGCGGCAGACGGGAGTCAGAGTGTACAGTGTGTGCCGGGGGGCAGGGTGGTCAGCCCTTGGTCTGGTTCTGCCTGCTCTTCCGTTGTCCAACAGGGAAAGGAACGCAGGGTGGTGGGACCTTTCAGTGGGGTTTGTTCTCCTCTGCCAGCCAGCTGGATTTTCTTGTTCTTATAGTCAGGTAAAATAAATACCGCTCAGGCTTTTTCAGTTTGCATGTGAAAAGAAAGTCTGCATCTTCAACAGAAAAATTACTTTTATGAGAAAAGTACAACAAGAGCAATGAAACAGGCAAAAAAAAAAAAATCCAAACTCCTTTTTTGGGCAAAGCCTTGTTCAGAGTGGGGTCAGCAAGCTTTAATACTGACATCCCGTCTACTCTGATATTCTAGGAACAATTCCATGGAAGTGTCTACTCTGGATTAGGAATTCTTTCTTGAGTAATTTTTATTACCTTGTAATTATAAGTGTCCATTTCTTTGGGAAATGCCACGCTCTCCCTGCTCCCACTGAGCTTTCCTCTGACTTTTCAGACCAGTTCTGATCCTCTTAGCTCACCTCTTTCAATGAAGAAAATTGACAAGAGAGATGAGTCTTCTTGCCTTGTGAGACTGCTTATTTTTATGTGTCTTTATTGTGGGGTAACTATAGTTTCTAAACAAAAAATCACTGTAAAAGAATACAACAAGGACATAGAAGAAATAGAATTGAAAGTGTGATTTCAATTATATTGCCCAGAGATGTATTTCTGTCCCAGAAAAACATAAATTGAAAGAAAAAATATTTTTTATTCATTCTTCAGTGATTACAATGACTTAACTGTTATGGTATATGTGCTCCTGTTGGGCACTGCATATCTCGTCAAACCTTGCAGTCGTATTTATCACCGCCAGCCTCATTTCCTGTGGCACATTGACTTTTGCACAGTACTTTTTGTCACAGCAGTCGCCAAAGCCCAACTTTGTGAAGATATGATGATATTGAAAGGAATATAGTACAAGCTAATATTGAATTGCCACAAACTGGTAGTTTGCATGGTGTCCAACAGATGTTCCCGTGTTTCCCTGGAAATTTTAAAACATCCCACAGTGCCCCTGGGAGTTTGGTGCTTCACCCTGGGGTATCTCTGCACATGCTTTGGGAGCCTCACATTTAATGTATTCAGGAAAAAAATGTTACTAAGAGAAAGTATAATTTAACCATATAATGGAATTGAGAAGTAAGGGTCAGATGGTTAAAAGAGAAGAAGAGTTTCCCCCAAATATGTTTAAATAATTAAAGAAATTAATTGAAATGGCAGAGGGCAATTTGAATTCCTTTCCTCTCATAGTTACCAAATTGCCAAATCATTAGTTGATGAAAGATCTTCGCTGTAAGTCTGCGTCCGTGCATCCTGCCCCGAGGGCTCAGAGAGACTAGAGCAGAGCCCTCAGGTGCTGAATGAAGCTTGGGTCGCCGAAGGTGAAGTAAAGGCTGAAGTGATCCGGAGCCAGCAATGGCCAAGTAAACAGCCTGGACAGCACTTTCCAAGGGATGAGGCCATTGCTTACCTGCCTCCCAGCCTCCGGAGGCTAGCTTGGAAGCACATTATTCAACTTTTGCCCAGTTACCTGTTGACATTTAACAGAAGGTGGCTTTTCTCTGGCTTTTTACATGATTTTTAGCCTCAAGATGGTGGGTTCGGTGTGTGAAACAGCAAAGATGAATGGATGAGGAGCTGCACACATTGTTTCTCCACTACTGTGACCCCGTCCCCGCTTCCCTTCCTCGTTTTCCTCTCTCCTTCTCCTCTCTCCATTTTTTTCTCTTTCCTTTCACCTTCCTCCTTTCTCCACAATTTCTCTTTCCCTTTTGTTTTTCTCTCTCCTCATCATTTTCTTCCTTTCTTTCATGTGTGTCTATACGTGTGCACACTCAATCATTCACACACACTTTTGAAGGCAGATACAGTTTTCCTCTTAATCTTTATAAATCTCTGTGATGATCGTGGTTCAAGCCCTGAAGCTGGATTCCTGGGTGAGAACTTCGACGCCTTTCATTTTGAAAGAAAGATGGAGAAAATCCTGACAGAGCTCCAACTGTTTAATCAATTGAGGGAAAGTTTGCGACTCGAAGGGCGAACACTTCATTACTTAATGATATTTAAAAGCTTAGAAAGCTTTAAAAAAAGTCTCAACCTCAAGTCTAGGGATCAAAAGATTGGCCAAAATGTTATAACAAGGAGATAACTATTAAGCTCGGGCTGAAATGGAGTGTAGAGAAACTTGTTAAATGGGTTCTGTGGAATTTTTCTAGATTGCTACGCAGCCCTGTCAGCTGAGCTCAGGGTACTTAGGATTTGAGCCACTTATTCTCCTTCTGAACACCTTCCTGATTGATCCGTGACCTCTTACATTGATGTGTTCTTTGTGAGATTTACAGGCAGAAGGAACACACTGTCTTGTTTTTTTGATGAAAAGCCTTTGCTAATCCATGCAGGCAGCTCGCTTTGCTGAGGAGGTGCCGCATGCATGCAGTGCTCCTTCCCTGCCTCCCTGACCGCACCATCGCCCTTCACTTCTTTAACTTTCCTTTGCAGTTGACTGAAACCTCCTCCCGTTACGCCAGGAAGATCTCCGGCACCACTGCCCTCCAGGAGGCGCTGAAGGAGAAGCAGCAGCACATTGAGCAGCTGCTGGCTGAACGGGATCTAGAGAGGGCGGAGGTGGCCAAGGCCACGAGCCACGTGGGGGAGATAGAGCAGGAGCTAGCCCTGGCCCGGGACGGACACGACCAGGTGAAGTCTGGTGCTGATCTTGTTGTGGAGACGGTGATGGTTTCTAAACTGAGTGAGGAGGCCCAGGGGCATGCCCGGTGCTTGGCGCCAAGGAGCTAGTCTGGAGAGCACTGGAAATGAGTGTACATTTCTTGTCTGAGCTTGTTTGAAAGCTGTGACCTGGGGCACCTGTTTCCATCATCATAGAGATGAAGTTTTGTTCTTCTTGATTCTACTTTAGTCTTTGGTCTTTACGTCCAGGTCTTTTGGCCTGTGTTAGGCCAGCTTGTTTCTTAGGACCTTACCAGTGATTACAGCTCCTGTTTGTAGATTATACTTTGTATGTGTTTCAGCTTCAAAAATGGTGAGAGTTGTTGTAACATTGCCCTCTGTTGCTTTAATGGTGTGGTTTTTCATCTAGCTTCCAGGAAAGCTCCCGAGAGTAACCCATTACGGTAGAAAGCATTTTAATGTGACAGGGTTGTAGAGTAATGCTCACCCACCATGGTAACACTTACCTATAGCTTTTTGGAGGTATCCCGGGGCCCGTATCTAGGTCAGAAAGAGGCCACTCACTGACATCCTTGCCTTCCCCAGCATGTCCTAGAATTGGAGGCCAAGATGGACCAGCTGCGAACAATGGTGGAAGCTGCTGACAGGGAGAAGGTGGAGCTTCTCAACCAACTTGAAGAGGAGAAAAGGTGACCCCAAACTGTTCCAGGGTGCAAGTGTGGCCTTTCCTTTTAAATGATCTTAGAAAAAAATTTCCTATTAACCTTATTGGTGTCAACCCTTAGAACCAAAGCAATGACTATGTGTTCAGCAGAAATTGAACTCTTCATACTGTGTGAAGAGGGCTTGCTTTGATTTGACTTTTTTCAGCAAGTTTGGAATTATAATTAGTCATGGCCTGATTAATTTAACAGTAAATGCCAAACGTCCTTTTTTTTTTGAGACAGAGTCTCACTCTGTTGCCCCGGGTAGAGTGCCGTGGCGTCAGCCTAGCTCACAGCAAACTCCAGCTCCTGGGCTTAAGCAATCCTTCTGCCTCAGCCTCCTGAGTAGCTGGAACTACAGGCATGCTTCACCATGGCTGACTAATTTTTTCTATATATTTTTAGTTGGCCAGTTAATTTCTATTTTTAGTAGAGATGGGGTCTTGCTCTTGCTCAGGCTGGTCTCGAACTTCTGACCTTGAGCGATCCACCAGCCTTGGCCTCCTAGAGTGCTGGGATTACAGGCATGAGCCACTGCGCCCAGCCCCAAATATCCTCTTGAGGATGGCTTTAGTTAGTCTTGTAGAGGTAATGTCAGCCTAGTTTTTACCTGGAGCCATTCCTGGTGAGAGGATATTCTAGGCCCAAGTTACCTAGTATTTACGAAATTGTATCATGTCTGGTGGGTGATAATAAGGTCTCTGTCCTTGAGAAACTCAGTACCTTATTAGTAAAACAAAATTCTCACATATGAAGCATTTCAAGATCAGTATGTAAATGAAATGCTAAGTGGTGTGAGACAGAGAAGTCAAGTCTGGTTCTTATAAAAGGAAGTTTCTCAAGGCTGTGAACAAACAAGATCTCTAAAAAAAGGTGTCTGCATGGAAACCAGACATCTCTGGGTTATAGGAAGTTTGTCCTCTGTTGGATTTAATGCCATCTTTCATCATTTCTGAGGACAGCAACTTAATTCAGTAATAATCTAGTATTACCGTGTGCTCAGGACAGTCATAAGCAGTGTCGCATTGAGCCGGCACAGTGAGGGTACAGTACTGTCTCTTACCAAGAACGTTACTTTCTCACTGGTGAGAGACACACTATACAGGGGAAGTTCTCCTCACCTTTAAAAAAATGGCTGCAGGTAAATGAGAGACTATGATAGACCTTTCTAGACCCTTCTGAATGCCATGGCACCCTTCCATTCGCTTCTGTTCTTAAATTGGCTCTTTGCAGATGGCCAAGCTGTAGATATGTCTCCCAGCTCTCATGTGATCTTGAGGCCTTTAACCTATGATGATATTTCTTATTTAACTCACTAGGATTTTTTTATTCTGAATTTTACTGGAAATGCTGGCGAGTTTGAAGGGTTTGTTTTGTTTTACTTCACATGTAGGTTATGAACTTGATCCACCTTTTCCTTCCTTCTCTTAAAGGTTCACAATGTAGTTGTTACTTGGAGTTTGTAAATCCTCAAAATGTCATTATATTTCATTGACTTTGTGATGGCATTGATTGAAACCCACACCCAATATCAGAGATTTTAAAATGTGAGAAAAACCTGCATTTAGAATCAAAGAAATAGGATCTTTGATTGTGTCTCCCCCAAATCATTCACAGCCCTGTGTTCCCAGTCTTGGAGCAGGTTCTGATATTGTCCCAAAGCCTTTCAGATTGGGGGTCTGTACTTAAGAAGCTTGCTAACTTCACCCTAAAATAGCTGATGTGGGGTGATACAAGGAGAGATTTGTTTTCTGTGCTAATTTCCCCTGTGTTCTTTTATTGGAAAAGAGAAATTCTAGACTTGAAATCTCAAAACTATTTCTTGGTGATCATTTTCTTTTTGCTTGTCTTACCTTGATTAGACCCATAATGATGTTTGTGACCAAGAGAACTAGCTGATTTTTCTAAAGTCTTACCTCATGCCCTCTGAAATTAGTATGGATAAAACTTTGACGTTTCCTAAATAATTAGAGTATAGATCTTAGATTTATAAATCAGAGGCCTTAAAGATGCTTTTTATAAAAATTTTCCACGTCTCTAAGGCATTTTTTTCCACCATCTGCTGAATTCACCAGGGTATTGATTACAGATTTTTGGGGGAGAGGGTGGATAAAGGTGGATGTTTCTTAATTACTTTTTTAAGTGCCTTGTTTTGGTTTTATTCCACAGGAAGGTTGAGGACCTTCAGTTCCGGGTTGAAGAAGAGTCAATTACCAAAGGTGATCTTGAGGTAAAATGCCCTCCAGCTCTCTAAAGCTTTTATAGGTACCAGTGTTGAGAAACATGGGTGAAATAATGTGCCAACTGACACGTGTGGCCGGGACACTCAGCTGAGGGAATGGCAGGAACCCCACCTTCTCTGGCCAAGCTGGGCTGTGGGTGTGGCTTTACAGTGAGGGTGCCAGCCCTTGAGCCTGTGACTGTGGTGTCCCATCTCCTGTGGCCAAATGAAATTCTCACTATTCTCATGCTTCAAAATTCAAAACCCAGAGTTAGATTTAATCAAGTCATAAATCTGGCAGTGCATCCTCAATTTAAAGTAGTCCTAAGTGAGACTCTATATGTTCCTCTGATTATTAACAATGGCATTTTTTATTTCATCATAATAATCTGTAACAAAGCTCTTTTGCTTTCCAGTTGAGCAGCACAGATTCTTTTATAACCCTATAAAAGGAACAAATTATAGTTTCTCATGGTTAATTTTTTAAAAAAGTAATTACCAGAGCAAAAAACAAGAGCAATTTATATTTCAACTTCTTGTACTTCCGTGGCTTATTTAAAGTTCATAGATTCTGCTTTAGTGTCAGGTTTCTCGTCTCTTCTTAACAACTATTCATATTAGTTTTTTAATTAGACACAATTAAATGGTTTTGTTGGTTTCAAGCAATTGCTATATATATGACAAATGTAGATTAACATTTAAGAATTTTTCAGATTTTTGGTTTTTTAGTAAAAATTGCACTTCTCTGTGCATTTTCCCAAATACCCATTTTTTGCTGCCATTACAATTTTAGAGTCTGTCGGCTGCCTACACCTTGCCCTTCCAAACAGGAACTCTGATTTCTTTGGAAATGAGTATCTTTACACTCTTTAAGGGGAACATTTTCTGACTTCTCATTTTCTAGGGCCCAGAATTTAATGGTTCATTAACAATTTAATAGGTATCTTCTTCACTCATTTCACATACAGTCACAATCCTTTAGTTGACTTTTGTGTTGTTCTCATCCATTTAAAAACACCCAAAATCTCATTAGAAGTTTCATATCATCATCTAATTCATATGAAATACAGCCTGTGTTGTTTGGGAGGGTCAAGTTAAAATATTTACATCAGCACTATGCTAGCAGAGTCTGTCTGATAAACTTACTTGAAATTAATCAAATATAGTTATCTCGAAACACTAACACATAGTGAAACCTTAGTTAAATCTCTTTTTTGTTGTTGTTTAATTTTTTTATTTTTTTACTGATAGCAAAAGAGCCAGATTTCTGAAGATCCTGAGAATGTAAGAGGGCACTTAACTGTGTGGATATTTCCCTTGTTAACACAGATTGATTATGGATTAAAATGCTTATTGATACACTCAATTACTAACGGCATAATCTGACCTTGGAACATTGACCTTAATATTTCTGTGCATGTGGCTTTCAAAGCAGTTACATTTGTATCCTGAAGAAATTGTATGTAATGACTAAGCTCTGTAAATTCATCTGTTTAATGAATAGGCCAATGTTTGCTTTATAAAGAAGTTTACCAAAAAGGAAAAAAAAAAGAAGTATTTTTGTCTGGAGGCTTGGCCTTCTTCACCTAATTCATAATATCTTCTAATTTTGGAATTATTCCAAAAGAGACGATAGCTGACTGAAGCATAAAACATAGTAGATGCAGAGTTGTAGGAATTCTGGGGAAGTTTCTCAGGCTGCTTGGTTGTATTTCCCACAAGAAAAGGCAATTGTGAGACTCCCGGTTCTGACTGGCTGCCTTCCCAGTGCACGCCCCCTGCTGGCCAGTGCCTGCCAGTGCAGCTGACACAGTATTTTCCCTAGTTTGTGAAACTGGAGGCGGACGTTCTTCAGTGAAGACACTGTGTGTTTTAAATTTATTGTTATTGAAGTGAGATTTTTCTAGTAGCAGGGCTACTAGGCATGTAAGTGTTTTCTTTATCTTCCTCGCTCTGATTAAGATCAGACACCCGGTACGAATCTTCCTGAAGTGGCCTCCAGAGCACTGCTGCTCTGCGTACCCTGCCAGCTGTGATGCTGATTGAAAAGAACCTGACAACTTTTTGCTTGGGTTTACTACCACGAGAGAATGACATTAAAACAAAGGACTCCTTTTCTTCCAACCAGCTCCTGGCAGCTGAAATAGACCACTCGCGACTGAACTTTTTTAAAGGTCTTCATTCTGAAGGGTTCCTTTTTGTGAAGCTACTTCAGTGATCTGGGTCTCTTCTCTGCTTCCGAAACAGGCTCCCGCTGCATCCGGTGTCAGTCCGCATGGGATCTCCCTCCTGCCTCTCTTGTGCGCTTCTCGCAAAGCCTCCGCTTTCCTTCTCAGCCCCCTGTCCCAGGACTTTCCTCTTGGGATACTCCGTGTCTTATTTAAGAAAGGAATAATTTTAAAAGGAGGGTTGTCCTGTTTGGTGGCACGTTTTTACTCTCTGCTGTGGCATGGAAGTGGATCACCAGTTCCCTTGCTGCTAGTTGACCGGATGCCGCTGTAGAGCCCCAGATAGATTGTGTGTGTACCCGTCAGCAAGGAGGCATTGGCGATGCTCATCTGGAGGGTCTCTGGATGGTGAGAAGGTCGCATGAAACGTGTATTTGCTTTTTATCTGGAAGTAGTGGCCTTTCACCCCGAGGACACTTAACACAGTGTCAAGAGAAGAAAGGTTCTGTTACCTTTTGCCTTTTCCTATCACTGTATTTTTGGATTTCAGTTCCTGAGGCTGTGCCCTCGATATGTAGATCTGGATTAGATTCTTTTGTAAAAGCAGGTAAAGTTGAACAACTTCTGTCTGAGGCACATAGGGACCCAAGGGGACTATCCAGACAATTAGATTTTGAATTTTATCTCGGTATTTTCATGAAGTGTAAAGAGATGAAACAGACGAAGTTTTAAGAAATTTTTTCATTCACCTTTTAAATGTCCCTTGATGGTTTCTCTATACCTGGTTCACAAACAAGCCAAGTGACCTCTTGAATGTATTGCTTTCCCCTGAGTACCACTAGAGTGAGTGCAGTTGTTTATAACCTTTATTTTTACATTCCACCTTTTACTCAAGTTCTGTACTAGTATGTTCGCTTTATTTAGAGTCTGTTGTCATTTTTTCATTGCCCATAATTGTCCAGACTGATAGGTCAGTTAGAACCACAAAATATTTAAATTGATACAAATAACTAGCAGCTGCTGAGAGCTGCCCTGTCGGTAGGTTTTGTTATTCTGATAACTGATATCCTCTTGGCTAGGAGAGGTGGGTGGGGGCAAAGGTACATTTGGATACCTAGATTATTTCAGATTGGTTAAGATTCTGCTGCACTTACACCTCTTAGAACAAGATTGCCCTGTGGGTTCCTCATTAGGTTACACCTGAGGACGTGGTGATGGGAGTGTGGAGTACCTGTGAGATCCTGGAGGCTCTGATCACGTTAAAATCTCACCAGCTCTCTGTGCACGAGTTCACTCGTGCCTCTGTGTTGAGTCACCATTTCTTAGCTTTCTTCCCTCTGAGCTGATAAAATGACTTCACCTAGGGATAAAAATAATAAGCCCCTTACCAGCTTGAGCTGAACTTTTTCTCCTGCTCTGAGCCTCTTACTTGGTCTGCTTCAGAGAATGGGGGCTGTGGAGGATAATTATTACTGAATTTTCACTTTGTAATTCTGATTCCTTTATCCCCCCCTGAAAACGAAGAGCTTTTGGGAAATCCACTGTTGGAAGGAAATTAAGAGTTTCCATGGCTCCCGACCTGTCATATGTGAGAATCTGACTCACACCCTTCCTACCCGTTTCTGGAATAGCTGCTGGTGTGATTTCCTAGGCTCTAGTTTCTGGTTCCCCTTTATTAGGGTTATTACTTGACCCTTTTCATGTTAAATTATATGCCCAAATGCAAGGATCTGCTCTAAGGACTTAGAGAACACTTTAGGGTTATGACATTATCTCTTTCATGTTTAAGTGATAATGATGATCATTCTGAGGGTTAATCTACTTTTTGGAGCCATCGAGTCAGTTACATACACATTAATGTCAAGTAGCCATTGTGGGGAGGAGGGAAAGTGATAGTTTAGAGGGATATTAACTTCTCTAATTTGTGCTGATAAACTTCACTTATCAATATAACTTATATTTGGCTGCATGCATCTGACACTTCATCTTGCCTCATGTGTTTTTCATTTTTTGTTTCCGAAGAGACCAGCTCATGTCCTGTGCCCACCACCACCCTTTTGTCCATAGCGCTCATCCTCACCCAGCCTCCTCATCTCATTCCATCCTCTTCCCTTCTCCATTACCCTTTTTGTTCATCCTTTGGCGGAAGGTACTGGTGGCTCAGCCTGCATGCCGCGCTGTCTCTCCTTTCGTGCTGGCATGTCATGGTGGCACTGTTGTGTTCTCTTCCTCTTCCTTTTTACTAACAGACGCAGACCAAACTGGAGCATGCCCGCATTAAGGAGCTTGAACAGAGCCTGCTCTTTGAAAAGACCAAAGCTGACAAACTCCAGAGGGAGTTAGAAGACACTAGGGTAATGGTTTTCACTATTTCATGAAGCAGACCCATGCGTGTGAGTGTTGGACACCTCAGGTGACGCACATTGTAACTGGCCGAAGCCTGACCCAGTGGTTCAACTGAGTTTGGTCTTGACACTGTTCAGATGTTCTTGAGCTTACACTGATGGGTAGGCATAGGTGTTTTATATCGAATCTTTTGTCAAAAGTAAAGACTCCTTTGGTTAACTCAACCAAAATTGTGTCAGAAACTTTACAACCATAAAAACTAATGGGTAAAACTGTATTTGAAGTTCTTTGTATTAATACCTTGAAATACATTTCTCCAGTTTGCCACAAGCAGTCAATTGTCCTCTTGTTCTCATATTCCTAGTTATTGGATTTTTTTCAATGACTTTTTATTTCATTAATACTTTAGCTCTCTTTTCCTGCCTCTTCCCTGGCCTTGAGGCGGAAGGAAATAGAAACACTGGCTCTTTTTGATGAGAGTTAAGGACTTTTACCTCAGTTATCTTTTTTTCTTGATAACTGATCTCTCTTTGCCCCTTCCTCCTTTGTGTTACCCAGGAGATTAAAATCTAGTGGTCAGGAGGAAAATGTGTGTTGGGAACAGAATGGCTTCTTACTATCTCCAGCTTATGGTGTTTGGCCCTTGGAGCCAGTTCATCAGTCATGCTTTAGTTTATTTATATATTAAAGCACCTATATAGTGCTTACTTTGTACCAGGCACTATTCTAAGTGCTTTACAAGTAGTATTCAGTCTCACCACAACCATAGGAGATAAGGGAGTATTATTGTTCCCATTTTACATACAAGAACACTAAGGCACAGAGAGGTTAAATAATTTGCCTAAGGTCACACAGCTAATGGTAATAGTGGAGGCAGGATTTGCATCAGGGCCATTTGGCTTCAGAGTCTTTGCTCTTAACCAGCACAAAATGGAGATTGTCTATTAGGGAAGTAGTTTTATGCTAAAAGATTTAAGAAATAATCAGAGTCATATATATATGAAAATATATATTCTTATATACCTTTAAATCATGAATTTGTCTGTTAGTAGCTAAAATGCCCAGATTCTTACCTTTAAAATTTCTAAAATTTCTCTGTCCCTGATCAAATTTGTTATCCTGATTTTTTTGAATTATTAGGATTTGTAGAAATTTTTATACAGTGAGAAATTATTGACCTAAAAAATCTAGACAGTTGAGTAATTTTGCTTCTCTAAGTCATAAGTTTTTATTTTTTAAGATGAAAGAAGATATTCTCTGCCTCAACACTAAAGATTTCTCCTGTGTATTTGATAAGAAAAAAAAGATAAAGTGGTAATTTGGTCCTGCTTTTTTGTTACCTGAGAGTGGAAGAACTGACCTGGGAAATAAAAGGGGCTAATGAGATTTAGTTCCTTTGTTGTGACTGGCTGTTGAAGTCAGGAGATATATATATATATATATATTTATATTTCACTTCTGAACTCCTCTCCCGTATCTTCATTTTGTCATTAAACAACACTGACGCCACCTTTGTGCTCTGCGTAGGAAGGCATCTGTTTATAGCATGGTTTGTCCAGATATTTCAGATGAAGGCTTACATATTTCCATAGCAGAGTGTGTCTTCCATTGATCCTCATTCTTGGTTTGCCACGTGTGAAAATAACCAATGACCCGTGTAAGTTTCATATCACATACATTACTTTTAGGAAGCACTTTAGAATTCCTTTTTGTCAATAAATCCAGTTTACAAACAGTGTGCTTGGTGCTGTAAAGATATTAGCAGGAGGCCGGGCGCGGTGGCTCACGCCTGTAATCCTAGCACTCTGGGAGGCCGAGGTGGGCGGATTGCTCGAGGTCAGGAGTTCGAAACCAGCCTGAGCAAGAGCGAGACCCTGTCTCTACTATAAATAGGAAGAAATTAATTGGCCAAGTAATACATACAGAGAAAATTAGCCGGGCATGGTGGCACATGCCTGTAGTCCCAGCTGTTCGGGAGGCTGAGGCAGGAGGATTGCTTGAGCCCAGGAGTTTGAGGTTGCTGTGAGCTAGGCTGATGCCATGGCACTCATTCTAGCCAGGGCAACAGAGTGAGACTCTGTCTCAAAAAAAAAAAAAAAAATTAGCAGGAGTAAGAAATGATTCCTGACTTAATTTATGGTCTCAAACTAGTGGGAGAGGCAGACGTATAGGTACTTTCCACCGAGGGCAGACTTTGAGAAATAAAAATAAGAAGTGCTATGCTTTATGTGAAAATACTATGTAAAGGATAATCACATTATTTTCATTCCACTATTTTTCATTTGGCTGTTAATTGTAACTAAGAACTATTGCTCTATTGGATTTAATTTATTGATGCTAAAGAGTTTGCAGCAGTGGGGTTTATTAATATTTTGTACCTTATTTTGAGGTAACAAATTCTTGGACTCTTCTCTCCCCAGAAAACTGTATGTAAATGAATTAACATCTTTAACCTGAAGCATGTCTCATCTCGAAGCACAGCAATTATAGTCAAACTCTGAAATATTTAATGACTAGATTATGCAGTTTGGGAGACCCAAGTGCTTTCTTGTCCTCTTCTCTTGGGGACGTTTCAGTCTTTATTGGTATTATGGCCTGTAGGTGGGCAGAGGAAATGAAAAAAACATGTCCATTATTTTCTGTCCCAATAAAGGCAGTGTGGGAGAGGAGTGTTAAAATCAGAGCTTTGATCCTTAAAATTTAGGACTCGTTGCTGTTTTTAAATTATTTGTGTTCCCTTCTATTTCCCAGGTTAGTCAAATAATTTTTATGCCTGAAGCTACCATTTTCTACATATTCTGTTCACTAAACTGACTGCCCCAACAGGTAGCAGAGGGAAATTCTTTTCTAAGAATGAGAAGACACAGGTTAAGAAAGTGTTTCTCCTAGCCCCAGAGTGTTTATTCAAGAAGAGCAGATTCCTGGGTACTACCCCAGAGCTCAAATAGAATCAAAATGGGTGGGAATAGCTAGAGAGTTGCATTTTAGACATACATTCCAGGTGATTCATGTGCCTAGTCTTGTCTGAGAACCACTGGGTTAGGGGAACAAGATGTGTACATCAAAATGCTGGTAGAATTATAAAATCCAAGAGGGAGCCTCAATGTAAGATTCTTATATATAATTGCAGGTAAGTAATCATTCTTTTTGTCTTTTTAAAAAAGGTTAGTAAGTTAATTCTTCATTATCCACTTGATAATAGAGGCTTTTATAGGTGATGTATTTGAAACATTTGATAGGTAATTTTAGATCTCTTATACCAGTGCTATCCAGTAGATGTGTAATGCAAGCTACATGTCTAAAATTTACAATTTTCTGGTACCCACATTAATTAACTTTTTAGTAAGTTACAGGTAAAATTAATAATATATTTTATGTAAACGGATATATCCAAAATCTTATTTTATCATATAATCAATATAAAAGGAAGATGATTTATGTTCATTTTTCCTAAGTCTTGATTTAAGCTTCATTAGAGGAAAAAGAAGTATTTTGGGGGTGACTTAAACTCAGTGTTGATTTTAGATTCTTTTAGTGTCTCAAAATGGTAGAAGTTTGCTGAAGATTATAAGTTTGAATCGGAGCTACCAAAATTGGGCTTAAGCCATTAATCACAGTTAGAGATCTCGTAACCTATACTCATTTGCAACAGTTTGCTGCCTGAGGTGAGGTAGTTATTAAATATCTTCAGGGTTAAGGAAAAGCATCAGTAATTTATTATTTAAAAAATCTTTTTTTTTTTTTCCTGGACTGCTGTTAATAGGTGGCTACAGTATCAGAAAAGTCACGTATAATGGAACTAGAGAAAGACCTAGCATTGAGAGTACAGGAAGTAGCTGAGCTCCGAAGAAGGCTGGAGTCCAATAAACCTGCTGGGGATGTGGACATGTCGCTTTCCCTCTTGCAAGAGATAAGCTCTTTGCAAGAAAAGTTAGAAGTCACCCAAAGTGACCACCGGAGAGAAATAACTTCTCTGAAAGAACATTTTGGAACCCAGGAAGAAACTCATCAGAAGGAGATAAAGGCTCTTCATACTGCCATGGAGAAGCTTTCCAAAGAAAACGAGTCATTGAAAAGCAAGCTTGATCATGCCAACAAAGAGAATTCAGATGTGATAGCTCTGTGGAAGTCCAAGCTGGAGACTGCCATCGCATCCCACCAGCAGGCGATGGAAGAGTTGAAGGTGTCCTTTAGCAAAGGGGTTGGAACAGAGGCAGCAGAATTTGCTGAGTTAAAAACACAAATAGAGAAAGTAAGACTAGATTACCAGCATGAAATAGAAAATTTGCAGAATCAGCAAGACTCTGAACGGTCTGCTCATGCTAAAGAGGTAGAAGCCCTAAGGGCTAAACTGATGAAAATCATTAAAGAAAAGGAGAACAGTCTGGAAGCCATCAAATCAAAACTGGACAAAGCGGAAGACCAGCATCTAGTAGAAATGGAAGACACGTTAAACAAATTACAGGAAGCTGAAATAAAGGTAAAGGAACTAGAGGTACTGCAAGCCAAATGCAATGAACAAACCAAAGTTATTGATAATTTTACATCACAGCTCAAGGCTACTGAAGAAAAGCTCTTGGATCTTGATGCACTTCAGAAAGCCAGTTCCGAAGGTAAATCGGAAATCGAGAAACTTAGACAGCAGCTTGAGGCAGCTGAGAAACAGATTAAAAATTTAGAGATTGAAAAGAATGCTGAAAGTGGCAAGGTTTGTATTGACATCCTCCATCTTTTTTTTTTTTTTTCCATTTGTTATATTTATTTCGCATTTATGTTATTTTTGGGTTCAGGTAATTCATCTTCCAAATTTCTGATTCAATTAAAACAAATTGCTGGGTGTGCCCAGTTGAGTATAGTGTAGTATTAATATCTTCTGAGTATCTTGAGTATGGTTTCATCTGAGGAGATTAGAGAAAAGTGTGGTTCAACCACGTAAATTTATTTTGGTGGCCTACTATCTGGATACCTTATCTGTTACTTTACCCTGGGCCATGCCAAGAACTCTTGTTTAAGCTTAGTTCCAGTCTGCAGTCTCTGTTTAAAATAGAGATCTCCCTAAGACAATGGTGTTAAGGTAGATGAATGAACGGATAAGATGGAAACTTATAAGATTATGTCCTCTTTTCCTGCCCACATAGAGTCATGTGCTGCATGACAGACCCACATGTATTATACAGTGGTGATCCCATGAGATTATATTATTGTATTTTTGGCTTTCTAGTTTAGATACAAAAATAATTACCATTGTGTCTACAGTATTCAGTATAGCAACAAGCTGTACAGTTTGTGCCCCAGGAACAATCGGCCACACTGTGTGGCCTAGGTGTGTAGTAGGTTATACCGTCTAGGTTTACGTAAGTATACTCCGTGTGCTTCGCACAGTGACAAAATCACCTCACGACGCAATTCTCAGAACATATCCCTGACCCTAAGCGACACATTGCCTATCCGTAGGGTTAAGTACTAAAACAGGATGTGAACTCTGAGCGCTCCTTGAGTCTCGTAAAGTAACGTGCTGTGGGAAATAGCCTTCACGGCAAAATCTAGGTTAAGAGCCTGGAGCCGTCTGCACTGTCGCTTGTGTCTCATTGGCGTTTTTTCTATGGCACAATGAGAACACGGTCCGTCTCTTGCTTTTTTGAGGAAAAAGCTGGACAAGTGTGCATTTGGTCAAGGCATAGGAAATTATATGAAACATCTGCCAGCTGCGTTTCTTACTAACTAGTCTTGTTAAATGTCACCTTCATTTTTAAGGATTGTTCGAGGAATTCTTTCTCAGTCCTGCCACTAGTTGAGGCGCTGATATTGATGCTGAATGTTCTGAGCATTTTGCGGGAGAAGCTGCTCTATTGGCAAAGAAGGAAGGGTTGTGATGGTTAAATGGGGAGAGGTGAGGACAGACAAACAGCAAAAAATTACTAAGTGACCATAGTTGAAGATAACAAACTGGTTATAGGAAATTTTTCTCAAATCTCCTCATGTGGTTCCGAAGTACCGGTCAATACACAAAAATTGATTAGAAGATAATACGTAGCTAATGGTTAGTTCATTTTTTTTACATCAAGATTTAATGAAAGCCAAGTTTTGATAGCTGTTGTTTAGTAGATTTTTAAATTTTACTTTTATTCTAATGTTGAAATAAGCATATATAAAATTACGGAAAATAATGTAGACCACATGTGCTCATCATTCCTGTCTTAAGGTTTTTAAGGTCCAGTAAATGAAATGGCTCAAGTAGCTCATTTAGAAAGTAAGCATCTGTACTTTCTGCTTTACATCATGCTGATACTCCAAATTTAATTGAGACATAGAAAAAGTCAATTTTGAACATTTAAAATAGGCTTTAGAGGCCGGGTGCGGTGGCTCACACCTGTAACCCTAGCACTCTGGGAGGCTGAGGTGGGCGATTGCTAGAGGTCAGGAGTTCGAAACCAGCCTGTGCAAGAGCGAGACCCCTTCTCTACTATAAATAGAAACAAATTAATTGGCCAACTAATATATATAGGAAGAAATTAGCTGGGCATGGTGGAGCATGCCTGTAGTCCCAGCTTCTTGGGAGGCTGAGGCAGAAGGATTGCTTGAGCCTAGGAGTTTGAGGTTGCTGTGAGCTAGGCTGACGCCACGGCACTCACTCTAGCTTGGGCAACAAAGTGAGACTGTGTCTCAAAATAAATAAACAAATAAATAAATAAAACAGCCATTAGACAATCAGAACTGATTTTTTGAAAAGTCATTGGCTTCTTAGAATTAAAAACAAAACAAAACACTTTTTATTCCTTTCAGTTTTGTTCTGTTATGTTTGTTTCTCATAAATTTTTTATATTTGTTTTATCTTTTCCTTCTCATTCTTTTTTGTTTTCTTTTTGTTCATTTGCTTTTATACCATGTAACTCTATGTTAGGCTAGTAGCATTACCAAAGAGCTCCAGGGGAAAGAGCTAAAGCTTACTAACCTTCAGGAAAATTTGAGTGAAGTCAGTCAAGTGAAAGAGGCTTTGGAAAAAGAACTTCAGATTTTGGTAAGTACCTACCAGGAATCTGCATCTCAGGGTTTCTGGTCATCTCCTGTTTTTAAAATAATTCTCCATAAAGAGAGAAATTTTGCAGCTATTTATTTCCCTTCTTCAAAGTGTTGACTTAGTGTGTTAGTTATTGGCTGATAAATACTGTACCTTGAGGGAGAATCAGATCAAACCCAAACTAGCAATTAAGGTAGGTATTACTGTTTTTTTTGTTTTTTTTTTTTTAAATCTGTCCCTTTGTGCCTGGTAATGCACTGCTTTGGAATGTTACTGACTACTTAGTTTCACTAAACACAGGGACCTTCCTAGTGACACATGGAACACAGTCAGGTTTCATTCATAATGAGGTTCTTGTGCTATGCCTTCTCCCATCTGCTTTGTGGCTACGTGGGGCAGCAAGCCACCCAGCCGTCCTGGTCATCGCACCCTCTGTTGTGTGTTGGCAAGACAGGGTACTGTCTAATAGAAGGAATGCAAAGAAATCTTTCTTGTAACTCTCAGGTTTATCCTACCTCAGAAAGTTACTTTTCTTTTTGTGTATTTTCTCTTTCCTTAGTCCCAAGTTGTAAGACATGTTTTTTTCTTACCTTTTCTCAGCTTTCTTCCTTCCTCCTGCACCAAAAACTTGACCTTAAACAAGGCTGATAACCATGAACAGTGCCAGTGGTACCCACACATCATGGAAAGGGAGAGTTGTAGGCTTGCAGAGTTGCTAGATAGGAGAAATAGTAGCTGCTAAGAATCGGTTGTTCCAGACCTTTCACCTACCTTCCCGTTTCTATTTATTAGACTTCTGTGCTAATAACAGTGGTGAATAAAAGCATATGATTTTTTTCCTTATCTAAGTGCCAATATTACAGTAGTCTACTTTTTTTAATGGTAAATATATAGCTGTGCGCTTCAGTATGGTAGCTGCAGTCCACATATGACTATGTAAATGTAAATGCATTAAAGTTAAATAAAACTTGAGATTCAGTTGCACTAGCTACATTTTAAGTGCTCAATAGCCCCATGTGGCTACTAGCCACAGCCAGTGGAAACATTTTCATCATTGTAGAGAGTTCCTTTGGACTGTTCTGGTGTATAATATTTTAGCTACATTTTGAGAAGTTGGCCTGGGAATCACCATTTTGTGAGTTAGTGTCCTTTAAGAAGATATTTTGAGTTCCACATCATTTCTTTTCCCTCTTCCCTAAACTTTTAGGATGTGTTGCTTTTTTTTTTTCCTTTTCAGTAAGTTATTCCTCCATATACTCTTAAGAGAAAACATGCCACTGTGAGTCTGGCTTTGGGAATAGCACAGGTGGGCAGCCCGTGGGCTTTGATGGACATGTAGCTCATGTGCCCATCTTTTTATAATCCTTGTTAGAAATACTCATTTAAAAATTCTCTTGGTGTAGCTAGCTCGAAGTTTATCTCAGGACAACCGGGAGAATGATTTTTAATTGTAATGTTTAGAAAAGAAAATCTTGAGCAGTTGGTGACTGATGGACCTTTTCAATTTAAAGAGTGGTTGACACAGACCTAGATACAAGATGTTACACCCAGAAATAAAAAATTTCAGAACTCTGTTTATTGTCTCAGGCAGGTTTCTAAAGTGAAGTTCTGCAATTTGATGAGTAGCAACATGACGGAGTGTGTACACACCACATTTGTATGCACATATGCGTGCACTTACATAAATATGCACGTTCATACATGTGCATCAGGTGTACATGCAGACCTCACACATGCACATATGCAAACCACATTCAGTCATGTGTGTTTGTGCATATATGGTTTAATCGGTGCCTACATGTTTTAAGTATGTTAGTTTTGGTGAAACAAGACCAGCAACAAAAAGTAGATGGTATCATAGTTGTAATTGATAGAAACTTTTTATAATTTGAAATCTTTTTATTCTGAATATCTAATTCTTTTTCTTTAGAAAGAAAAGTTTGCTGATGCTTCAGAGGAGATGGTCTCTGCTCAGAGAAGTATGCAAGGTATGTCTTACTAAAGTATGAGCACATTGCTTTAGAGAATATCATACTCTCACACTGGAGCTGGCTTCTGGAGTACACAGAATAGCGCACGGATTTGGGGAGGCAAAAGAAAGCTGCACACCTGCTTCTTCAGCGTTCTGCACAGCAGTGTGATTCATGGTGGGACTTTCTAATATCCTGTGTTCTCAAATCTCCCAAGCATATGATTTGATTGGGTTGTAAGACAGCCAAGTTCTAGATGGGTTATTGAATATGAAACATATTAAACTTTTAACTTTATCCTAAATAGAAACTGTAAGTAAATTACACCAAAAGGAGGAAGAGTTTAACATGCTATCTTCTGAACTGGAGAAGCTGAGAGAAAATTTAGCAGGTAAGATGATGTCTCTGGCTACCAAACATTAAATATAGTAGGTTTCTCAGGATTTGAGACAGTTGTAGAATGTTCCATATCTACTGTACAGGTGTAACCTCCTCACACATTATGGTGCTATAAGGTAATGACATCCTTCTTTGAGATCTGTTAACCTGCAGCAAGTCCTCTTTGCTCTGTTTTCAAAAGAGCCAGAATCCACCACCTGTCACCACTTCCTCTGCTGTCCTTGCTCCAAGCCAATGAGCATCTTTCGTCTGAACTACGGTGACAGCTGACCACCCAGGCTCACTGCTTCTGCCCTTGCCCACTTGAGTCCATTCTTAACACGGCAGCCAGAGTCATCCTTTTAAAGTGAAGTCAGATCATGTCGCTTCTTTGTGTAAGATTATCCAGTGGCTCCTGTCCCACCCAGTGAAAGCTGTGGTCCTTACCAGGATCAGGCCCCCCTCATCCCTTGGATTTCACCCCGACCCCCCTCCCCTTGCTCACTGCGCTCCCACCATGTCTTCTCCTCACTCACACTTGGATGTGTCAGATTCTTGCCCAGAGCCTTCGCGCTCACCATCCCCTTTCCCCTCACTTCCTACAGCTTTCACTCAAGTGTCACCATCTTAGCGAGGCCCCATCTAAAATGTTCGCCTCCTTCCCAGCTCCTTTCCCTGCCTTAATTTATTTTTCCTCTTAGTGCTTACCACTATTTATTATAGTGTTTCTTTCCTTTATCTCGTATATTGTCTGTTGTCTTTGCTGGAATGTGATTTTGGTGAGGGCAGGGATTGCCATGTGCAAATATTACCAGAACAAGGATGCACTCAATGAATTTTTGTCAATTTTAACACAGCAGTATGATTCTTTCTTCTCTATGTATTTAGATATGGAGGCAAAATTTAGAGAGAGAGATGAAAGAGAAGAGCAGTTGATAAAGGCAAAGGAAAAACTGGAAAACGACATTGCAGAAATAATGAAGATGTCAGGAGATAATTCTTCTCAGCTGACAAAAATGAATGATGAGTTACGTCTGAAAGAAAGGTACATACGAATGTGTTAATAAGCGCAGCGTGCCTACGTTAGGGGGAGCTCTGCAGCAGTGCCTCCACAGAGGGAGACAAAACATTCAGGATTATTACATTCTAAAGTTTCCTGTCTTTGTTTCTTTCTACTCTGACCTCATTGTGTTCTTGAATCAACTGTTTAAGTTTCTAAAAGGAGTTTTACGATTCTGACATGTCAAGAACAGAGTTAAGAAATACAATATTATTTATAGACTTTTTGGTGACTTACAAAGAAAAAGTAGTAGTTTACTAGTGGCAATAACATCGTTTACAGGTAGTTCCAAATATTTTCAATTTATTTAAATGTAATGATAAGTAATATTTATTAAGTGCTTATTATGTGCCAGACACTATACTAAAAGCGTCACATGGAGTATATTTTCAGATTCTCACAGTAATCCTGTGAGGTGAGTTTAGCATTTTTCCCATTTTAAAGAAAAAGAAACTGAGACTTCCTGGGGTTAAGTAACTTGCCTGAGGTTCCAGATCTGGGCCTTCTGGTACCAGAGCCCTTGATGTTCTCACTTGCTATACCGCACCTCCTCAGTGCTGTAGTTTCTTTTATCTCAACAGCTGTTCTTGGCTTTGTTGTGAGGTTCTTGTTGCTTTGATTTTTTTCTTTTAAGAGTGGTTGTATAAAAATCAGATGTTTTCATTCATAAGACAGAAACTTTTATAGAATGTTTTTAAGATCCTTAGAATTCTACTTCTTAAAGTGTTACTACTTGCAAAGTCCTATTTACATCCAGCTGTTTACCTAGACACAGTTCAGAGTCATGGGTGATCGGTGGCCAGGCCTCGGTTGGGCAGGTTTGGTCAAACTTGCTGTGAGGCAGGCGTAGCTACGTAGGTGGTTGTGGTGCAGTGCCTTCTGGAAGTTCCATTTCTGTAGGTGTTTTATGAGTATAAACTCCAGAGATGGCCCAAAGTTTCCCTCCTGTGTTCTCTGATTCCTCTGACAGCCTGTTTTCTAGGTCAGTGGCCATGTTTTCTATACATCTTTGGCCATACAGTTCTTTTTAAGGTAGAACTTGAAGTTATTTATTGTCATTTTTGTATTTATTCTCATTTCTGTTCTCAAGAGGCACTGGAATGAATTTTTTCTGCAGTCTAGTCTGCTAAAGTTTGAAACTTTCTAAATATGCATTTCCATTAATATGCTTATTTTTCACTCATTTTTCCTTATTGACATAAAGTAAGAAACCTTCACAATTATAGTAGTTGTTACTCTAAATCAGGGGTCCTCAAACTTTTTTAGATGGGGGTGGCAGTTCACTGTCCCTCAGACCGTTGGAGAGTGTGCACCGTGGGCCCGGGATGAGTCGGCTGCTAAGCAGGACAGGCAGCAGTGGCAAAAACACCCAGAGGGCCGGATAAATGTGCTAGGTGGCCTGTGGGCTGTAGTTTGAGGATGCCGCTCTAAATAGTGTATTTTTTTTTTGAGACAGAGCCTCACTTTGTTGGCCAGGCCAGAGTGAGTGCGTGGGCGTTAGCCTAGTCATAGCAACCTCAACTCCTGGCTCAAGGGATCCTTGTGCCTTAGCCTCCAAGTAGCTGCTTATTTTTTCTATATGTATTAGTTGGCCAATTAATTTCTTTCTATTTATAGTAGAGATGGGGGTCTCGCTCATGCTCAGGCTGGTTTCAAACTCCTGAGCTCAAGCAGTCCGCCTGCCTTGGCCTCCCAGAATGCTAGGATTATAGGCGTGAGCCACCGCGCCCGGCCCTAAATAGTGTATTGATAACTATCACAATTGTTAAACTTATTCTTTAGGCAGGTCATGTTTTCTGGTCTATTTCAGACATTTTTACTCATAACTCTTATAATCATTAATGCAGTTATCAGTAGTATATTTTTAATCTAATTCTTAAATTTAAAACATTCTTATGAAAAATCTGACACCTTGTATTTAAACTTGCTCTAGATGTGTCGAAGAATTACAGCTGAAACTTACAAAGGCTAATGAAAATGCAAGTTTTCTGCAGAGAAGTATTGGGGAAGTAACTCTCAAAGCTGAAGAGAGCCAGCAAGAAGCAGCTAAAAAGCATGAGGAAGAAAGGAAAGAACTGGAGAGTAAACTGCTGGACCTGGTAAGGAGAGAATCCATGGGACCACTTTCTGGCCAGGAAGCCAAGGGGCAGTACAGCTAAGGCTAGATGACTCACTCCTTCACTCGGGGTTTCTGCAGGAAAAGAAGGTGGAAACAAGCCACAACCAATGTCAGGATCTGAAAGCCAGGTATGAAGAAGCCAGTTCTGAGACAAAAGCCAAACACGAAGAAATCCTGCAGAACCTGCAGAAGGTGCTGTCGGACACAGAGGATAAGCTGAAGGCTGCACAAGAGAAGAACAGCAGCCTGCTGCAGGAGATGGAGGAACTGAAAACACACGCTGACAAAGCCAAAGTATGTTGTGGGGGACAAGTGTTGCTGTTGCATGATAGCTTACTTGAGTTCTGCATCCAGGCTGGGAGGCGGCTGCTGAGAAAGCAGCCGCAGAGTTGGCCTCTACAAATGTTAACCTTCGGAGCATGTGGCAGGGTGGTAAATTCCATTTCCTATGGCTTCACGTGTTTTGTGCCAGCTGCTGCTGCTTCTTGGGGATGGTGACTGCAGGTCTTTCCTCTGAATGTACCGTGCAGCCATCACGCCCATGCCGCTCGTTCCCCAGCTGTCACAAAGATTCTTGTGTTGCCTGAGCTCTGTCTGCCTGCTTGTTCCTCTAATCTAGGCCCTGCTTGTTGTTGCCACCTTGCACTAGGGTTAGGAGAGACACGTTGCAGAAAAGCAAGAGGCAGAGCCCAAGTAAGTAGAGAATTAAGGCTGGAGAGAGCCTGGTTGGAGGAACAGAGTTGTGAACTCTAGAGAGCGCTTTTGTATGTCCCCAATAAGGCACTATGACCTTATTTATAAGGAAGCTGGGTTTGAGGGTAGTGAGGAAACATACTATTAATAGATAGAGTAGAACTCACTATGTTGGACTTCATGTTACGGTGTCAGGATTGTATCTGTGCCATATATATACTATATATATATTTTCTGTGACAGGGTCTCGCTCTGTCGCCCCAGCTAGAGTGCAGTAGCATCATCACAGCTCACAGCAACCTCAAACTCCTGGGCTCCAGCAATCCTTCTGCTTCAGCCTCTGAGTAGCTGGGACTACCGGGGAGCACCACCACGCCTGGCTAATTTTTTCTATTTTTTTGTACAGATGGGGGTCTCACTCTTGCTCAGGCTGTCCTTGAACTCCTGGCCTCAAGCAGTCCTCCCATCTCTGCTTCCCAGAGTGGTGGGATTATAGGCATGAGCCACCACTCCCAGCTTCCCATTATATTTTTTGACTCTGGTAGCTTAATGACATTCATCTTTCCTACTACTATTTAACTTTTTATTGCTCAAAGAAAAGTAAATACTTGTCTTTATTTACTTTTAATGTGTTAGAGAAATGTTTATAAAGGAGTTTAGTAGAAATTATAAAAGAGCACGTGTAGGACTTCAAATCAATCCCATTAAAAACCTAACTAAGTGGACTATGACATAATGTGTCATGTGAGGGGCCCACATTCTGCCTCTTCCACATGCTGACAGTCGAGGCTTTCTCCTCTCTTAAAACACCTCCAGTTTTATGAGCTGTTTAACACTGGATATAATTCCCAGATCTTTTGTCTTTGTGGTTTCCTTTACCTGGACAGACTCCAGTTTTTTAATATTTCCTTCAAAATGTTGCAACCTGACCAAACTACAGCATTCCAGTAGGTTGTAAAGGCCTCACTAATTTTGTTTGTTGGTTTTATACAAGGATCATTTGGTTAAAATGCCAGGATTATTCCCTCTCCAAAGAGTTCTGTAGCTGATTTCAGTGGATTTTAATGAGTCATAGACTCTGGAGAATCTGATGAAACCTAAGGATGTTTCCCCAGGAGTGTTTACATATGCAATCAACAAGTTTTATATACTATTTCGAGAGGTTCATAGAGCCCACCAAGCCTCCATGTTCTCTAGTTTAAGAGCCAGGGGTCTGTAGCTGTGCAGTAGCCATCAGCCATGTGAGATGATTTAAATTTGTTACATTTTAATAACATTAGGCCAGGGCTCAGTGGCTCATGCCTGTAATCCTAGCACTCTGGGAGGCCGAGGCAGCGGATTGCTTCAGGTCAGGAGTTCAAAACCAGCCTGAGCAAAAGCGAGACCCCGTCTCTACTATAAATAGAAAGAAATTAATTGGCCAAGAAATTAATTGGCAAACTAATATATATAGAAAAAATTAGCTGGGCATGGTGGTGCATTCCTGTAGTTCCAGCTACTCGGGAGGCTGAGGCAGTAGGATTGCTTGAGCCCAGGAGTTTGAAGTTGCTGTGAGCTAGGCTGACGCCACGGCACTCACTCTAGCCTGGGTAACAAAGTGAGACTCTGTCTCAAAAATAAATAAATAAATAACATTAAACACCATATCAGTTACACTTACCTAAGCATTTCAGGTGCTCAGTAGTCAGTGGCTGCTACACGTCTATATCATTGCAGAATTTTCTGGACAGCCCCAGTATAGACACTGTGGTCAAATTATCTTACAAATCCATACATTTTTTTAAAAAACTATCCATTTTGGTCACCAAAGGCTGGAAATTAGCCTGTATTTTTTAATAAGTTATGGGTGATATTGGGCCTAAATCACTCTCAGCTCAGTGACTGTCCTTCAGTAAGTAAGGTCTTGCATTTGGTTTAAAAGTTAGCAATTTATTTTCCCTTGTTATACTTCTCCTTTTTTTTTTTAGTTAAAATGCACTCACTTTTTGTAGTTCTTTGAATTGTGTATTTAAAAATTCTTCTCTTCTAATGTAGAATCGTTTCTACATTAGAAATAGTTGGATAATTAGAATGGCAGGAAAGAATCTTATGCCCTGGTGTCAAAATCATGCTACTGTCTTCACCTTCTAGATAGCTACCAGGAATAATTTGATAAGTTGTTTCAAAGATAAAATAAGCCAATAGATAAATAAGCACTTTACAAAGCTAAACTTGCTTTGTATTATCTTTTTATGGGCTCTGTTTATCTAGTTTCTTTATCTTGTTATTCAGATAGTTTCTGTAAAGTTTATTGTAGAAATTTTTAAACACTTATGATTTAGGTTATATTATTTGGGCTTGCATTTGTCTGCTTGATTTCATTTTTGTTTCCATTCTTCCCATCTTTTGTTTCTGTAGTCGCTAACTTATTTGTTAACATCAGCCAAAAAAGAAATTGAACTTATGTCAGAAGAGCTGAGGGGTCTGAAATCAGAGAAGCAGCTTCTTGCACAGGAGGGAAATGATTTAAAGTTAGAAAAAGGTTCACTTTTGTCAAAGCTTATAGAGGTGGAGGCCAAAATAACTTTACTTCAGGAAGACCAACAGAAACTGTGGTCAATAAATGAAACTCTTAATTTAGAAAAGGAGAAAGTCTTAGAAGAAAAGCAAGATGCTGAAAAGCTTTATCAGCAGGAACATGTCAACAATGAAGCTTTGGCTGTTGAGAGAGAGAAATTGCTTAATGAAATCAATATTGCACAGGAAGAACTCTTGAAGATACATATGGAAAATGACTCTTTGCAAGCTTCTAAGGTGAGCATGCAGGCACGTATTGAAGAGCTCAAGTTCAGCAAAGATACTTTGATTGCTGAATTTATGAAGCATCGGGAAGAAAAAGATCACCTGGAGGATCAGATCAAGAAACTTATTACCGAAAACCTTGTTTTGGCTAAAGATAAGGATGACATTATTCAGAAGCTTCAGAGCTCTTATGAGGAGCTAGTCAAAGATCAGAAAACCTTGGCACAAGAGATCGAAGATCTCACAGCTGAGAAAAAGTCAGCTTTAGAGAGACAGTCAAGTCTCGATAACACCTGCATAGCCTTAAAGGTAGAACGAGACAATCTTCTTCAGAACAACCGGGACCTACAGTTGGAGAAGGACTTGCTGCTTCAAGATCAGGAAAAGCTGCATGCCAACCTAGAGGCCGCACTCCAGGTCCAACAGCTGCTCCGCATGGAAGCCAGTGGGCTCCACGGGCAGCTGGATGATGCCGGCAAAGCTCTGAGAAAGGCGGAGCTGGAGACGGTGCAACTCCAGGCCACAAACTCGAGCCTCACGAAGCTGCTGGAAGAAATTAAGGCTAGTCGGGCAATCACAGACTCTGAGTGCATCCAGCTTCTGCACGAGAAAGAAACCCTGGCCTCTGCTGAGAGGAGACTTTTGGCTGAAAAAGAAGAACTTTTAAGTGAAGTTGGGATCATCACTGAAAAACTCAACAAATGCTCGGAAGAGGCTGCCCGTATTGAGATGAGCCTGAATGAGAAGATCAGTTATCTAACTTCTGAGAAGGAGGTGGTTTGTCAGAAATTTACTAAGCTTAAAAAGCAGCAGGACAATCTCTTGAAAGAAAAATCTGCACTGGAATTGCAAAATGGAGATTTACTTGCAGAGAGAGAAAATTCCATCAAAGCCATAGGAGACCTTAAAAGGAAATACGATCAAGAGTCTGCGAACAGAAGAATCATTGTTCATGAGAAGATGAAACTACTTGGTAATATTGATGCGCTGAAGAAAGAGCTTCAAGAGAGAAAAAAGGAAAACCAAGAACTCGCGGCCAGCAAGTGTGATCTCTCTATGATGCTGAAAGAGGCACAAAATGCCAAAAAGAATCTAGAAAAAGAACACACTAACATATTGCATGCAAAGGAGAGTTTGAATGTTGAACTTCAGACTTGCTGTTCTGAAAAGAACATTTTGTTGAGGGATGGCTTGAGCCTGCAAGAGGAGTGTCAGAAATTAAGTGAGGAAATCCATGCAATTCGGAAGTCCTTAATCCTGGAACAAGAAGCCAGAGCAAAAGAGAATGAGTCATCCCTGTATGAAAAAAATAAACTTCATGGGAGAATGGTGCTCCTGGAGCAGGAGGTGGAAGAGTTAAGAGCGTGTACTGAGGCGCTGCAGTCTGAGAAGTTTGCGCTGATCCAAGAGAAGACCAAATCAGAGCAAAAAGTAGTAGAGATAATTAAGGAAAAGGAACTCTTGAGTGCAGAAACAGCTCAGCTCGCTGCCAACATAGAGACTCTGAAAAGCGATTTTGCTTCCTTGTCCAAATCCAAGTTGGAACTGCAGGAACTGCACAGCTGCCTCACCAAGATTCTGGATGACCTTCGGCTGAACCATGAGGTGACCCTGGCTGAAAGAGCCCAGGTGGTACAGGACAACAAGAACCTCCTAGCAGAGAAAAGAGAGATGATGCTGGAGAAGGACCAGCTCCAGAAGGAGAAGGAGAGCCTGGCAGAAAGTTACTTCATCCTTCAGAAAGAGATCAGCCAGTTGGCCCAAACCAACAGCCATATTTCAGCCAACCTCCTAGAATCTCAAAATGAAAACCGTACTTTGAGGAAAGACAAGAGCAAGCTTACCCTTAAAATTAGAGAGCTCGAGACTCTTCATTCATTTACGGTAAAGTGAGAGGTTCAAGTATGAGCACCTGGGCTCCTTACTAACACTGTGCACTAACTTCAGTGGCTTAGGTGATTGTTCTTCATTTCTGCTCGTGGAAATCCACCCGATTAAATCAGTCGCTTGGATGTCTCAAGCTGTTTATTACAGTCTGTCTGAAAAGGAGATTTTTTACTAAATATCTAATTGTAGTAGTCTCTTCCCATTTGAAAAAAATCACAAACTGTGAATAAAAAGGATTTATTTTTTAATTTAGGGAGAAACTTCTTGAAAAAGTTAACTGTGGTTTTTAAAGGCTTAAGAACTACAGTAAGTTGGGCACATACTGAATATAGTATCATCTATTTGACTTTTAACTGTCGCACTGTGTCCATTTGGAGTTGGAAGATTCCATTGAAATCTTCATGGCTGGTAATTGGATAGGTATAATGCAGAATTCCCATAAACTTTATTAGACCACATGAAATTATAAGCAAGTGCCTAAAAAGATTTTAATTTTCTTTTTTATTAGAGATGAGAATCTCACTATATTGCCCAGGCTAGACTCCTGGGCTCAAGCAATGCTCCTGTCTCAGCCTCCTGAGTAGCTGGCGCTACAGTACATGGCACCACCATGCCTGGCTAGATTTTAATTTATTCTTATATCTTTTTATGATTACTTTTGATATTTAGCAACTAAGAATTTGCCTCCATATGCATACATCCTTTTTATTCACAGCTATGTTTATATTCATTACCCTCAGCTGCTCTCATAGACTTCTCCACTATATGCTTCTCATTTAACTCTTGAGCCTTATGTTAGAAGTGCCCAAATAATTTTTATTTTTATTTGAAAAATTCCCAACCTAAATTTCGAATGATTTCCAAAGCTCCGAATTTGAAATAGCAAGGATAGTATTTTTAACTTACATGATTCAGAGAAATTCAGCTATGTAAGGATGTTACTCTTTATTATCACTAAACAGTCTCTTAAATATAAGTCAGAATGAAGAGAGCATGCTTGTCAGTGTAAGTAACTTGGAACTTTCATTGAAAGATGCAGGTTTAGAGAGTCTGAAAATATGCAAATTGCATAACAGTTGACTTAATGAGAAATGGAACAAAAGGGTCTGCTCCCTTGTTTTACTTCAGAGTGAAGACCTTTCATGTCTTGATCTGTGTGTTTGAGCACTGTGTTGGTGACTGACTCACCCTCTGTGTGTGCCTCCACTGTCCACACAGACACTGAACAGCGCAGCCTGATTGTCACCTAACGGTGTCGGCGCCGGGTGAACTCGTTTCTCACAGTGTTCTCTTGTATTTAGGCTGCTCAGACAGCGGAAGATGCCATGCAGATAATGGAACAGATGACCAAAGAGAAGACCGAGACGCTGGCCTCCTTGGAGGACACCAAGCAAACAAATGCAAAACTACAGAATGAAGTAATCAGATTTAAATGGCTTTTTGTACAAAGAACAGCTTACCGGCTTCATGGAATGTTTGATCATTAACTCAGCATTGCTTATTTTTCTGAAGTGTGGCCTTACCCAGGTTTGCTCTATGATAGTGGGTTGGATGAATGTACACCAGAGCCATGATAATGCTAAATAAAGCGTGTTACTTCATTGCTTACTCAGTAGGATCAACCGGCACAAGTTGAGGGGAAACCTTAATAGCGTGGGTTTCTAAGACAACTGTTTATTGACAGCCCTAGTGAGAGGAGGCACTGATGGCATCCTCTAGTTTTTATATTTTTTGTCTTACATCATACACATTGTTTTTCTCTTTTCCTCCCCGACTTCCAGCCATGAAATTCCATTCCTCGGCCCTGAGTTTGATGTAGGTCTTTTCTTGGCCTAATTCGGTACTGATTTCCTTTTGTGTCATCTTGAATGAGTCACTTCTGGAGCTGGGACAAATTTGTGGCGTCAAGATATTCTGATTCTGTCCACAAGTAGCATTTCTCCTTCTGTACCCTTCTATGATTCCTCTACTCCCGCCCTCCCAGCTCATAACTACCCCTCCTTCCTTTGGAAAGCTGTTACCTAAATCCTAAGCAGACTATTGCATAGAAATGGCTGTGGGAAGTTCTGTAGAACTACAGATGCTTTTTAAAATAATAGGCAGGTAAGACATTAAGGAATGAAAACGAGGAGGGGATGGCCAAGCTGAGTAACCACTGTGAAGACCAGCCCTCCTCATTGTGGAGGGACAGAGATCAAAATCTATAAAGACATGAACATTTTGAGGTAATTATAAGGTAAATAACAAAATTTTACATACATTCATTTAATAGAACTGACAATCCTAACAGAAAAAGACAAGCTAAAAATATAAAGGCATTAAAAAAATCATAGATACTAATCAAAATTAGAAGGCTAAAGTAAATGAGAAGATTTTAGGGAATGTCTCTAATGTTTGCGGATGGAATCAAAGAGAACTGTTTCCTTTTTAAACATATCCCTTTTGTTACAGCCAGCATACAAGACTGGGCAAACCATTTCTTGGACCCATTGTGATATTTTGTTTTTATTATTCTCTAAATCTGGAATGTCAGAGGGTGTTATAAGGAAAGTGGGGGTGTTAAAACTAGCAAGACATTTTCTAGGACTCCTGACTGGTGGCATGTGACATGGCCAAAGGAGACTACCACACAAGGCCCAGAAAGCCAGCGCGGCCCGGAGCACACTTGAGGCACAGAGGCCCGTCCTTGACAGGGCTAGAGCACCTAGAGCTCCAGCCACCTGCTGGTGCCTCTCGTCGTCCCCCCTCATCCCAGTAACACGTCTGCCTTTCCAGCAGGGGCCAGGCCCTAAACTGACTGTGTCCCCCGGGGCAGGTGAATGGGGTTGAATGGGTATGAGTGCCCTTCAGTCCTAAGACATGGCTTTTTCATCTTCAGGTTCAAGTTCAGATGGATAACTAATTTTTTTTTCAACCTTACAAGTATTTTGATTCAATAATTCAAATAATTTTTGTAGTGAGGACTATGTGAATCTGGTACTGACATTGAAAAATGTCGTATCCTAAATTACTAATCTATGGGGAAGGAAAGGGGTTTCTTTTCATTACAAAAAATAATTCTTGCTGATGCCATTGCTTTGCAATTTATTTGCTTTTTAAGATGGAGCATATTGAATAGCAAGTTCAGTGATTACTGAGAATTTACACAAGATGAAAGAAAACTTCAGTTTTAATTTATGTATTAATAGCAATTCAGTGTGACATTTTGGCCAGATGTACAGGAAATGTTGAACTAAATGTGTAAGGAGGAGGTTTGCAGTTTATAATAGATTTGTCATTTATACTCTCTTCACCCAGGCGACTTTTTTGTTTGTTTTGCAAGTGATTAATTTCATCGTTCTTGTTAATAAACATTTTCATGAATAATTTGTCCAGTCATGCCATTGGAAAATGAAATAATTTCATGAAGTTTTTTTCTCTTGGTCTTAAAGTTGGACACACTTAAAGAAAACAACTTGAAAAATGTGGAAGAACTCAACAAATCAAAAGAACTCTTGACTGTAGAGAATCAAAAAATGGAAGAATTCAGGAAAGAAATGTAAGTTTATCTCCTGAGAGAAATTGTGGAACTTATTTTAAATTGAAAAAACAAAAACAATGGTAATTATTTTTAAAATATTTGAAAATTACATGAAGTAAAAAGTAATGGGCATCCTTCCATACCCCAAACACTATTGCACACCACAGAAGTAACCCCAATATCCATTGTTAAATCAGAACTACAGCTAAGTTAACGGATCAAGATGAAGTATGTGCTGGCTGACGAGTTATGTTTGGGATTCGAATGTAACTTTGTAAAGCCTTATGAAAGTACAAATAGAATCAGAGGTTTAAAATAATGCATTTACATGATAGCCCCTCTTAACATGTGGAAATGTCAGACCTTTTATTAATAAGTCTTCAAAACTCTTTTTACAGGGGGAAAAATGCCAGCATGTCATTTTTGAGATTTTCAATATCTCTCTCTTTTTTTTTTAGTCAACTATTGGGTACAAGAGTTTCAATATCTCTATTTTAAGAGTACTCGAATCTGCTGGCACAGAAATTAAACAGCCAGCATTTTGGAAGACTCTTTAAAGTTAATGTTTACCCATCAATCTGCTGCCCAGTTTCAGGCAGGCAGACTGTTCGTGTTTTCTTTGTTGACCCTTTGAAGTTTGGTTATTGTAGTTAGTAGTGATTGGCATTTATCTGGTGTTTTAAATTGTGGCGACAGGGTAGATTTCACTTGGTGTTCTATTCTGATAACTGCACTGTGTCAACTATGTGAACCTAAAACTCTAAAGCCGATTAATCTGGTGAATATTTGAGCATGTCTTTTGTGCGAGGTTTAGTTAAGCTGGGAAGGATATGAAAATGCATTATGTGTGGTCCCTGCCCTTCAAGGGTTTATGCCATTTGTTTCCAAATTTAATAATGCAAATAGATGGGATCCAAACAAAAAGAAAAGCATCAGTTCCAGACTGCTCTTCTGAGCCACCATCCTCAGTGCTATTTGTTGATTGAGCTTGGATTAAACTAGTATGTGTCTAGTTCTTCTGAGAGTTCTTAAAATTATCTCCTGGGAATAATTTGATCTGAGCTACATACTCGCTTGAAGAGATGCGCAGCTCATGATATTGATGACAGATTTCCTTCCTGAGGCATAGTTTTAATGACATTTCTCTAGATTATGTTTAAGCAGTTCCCAACAATTCCATTTACACAAATTTATAAATTTACAATTGTGATGATGGCGTTAGGAGAAGCTTTGATTTATTCGCCCTGCCAAAGCCCAAAAACGCAAATAGGTGATGGGCCACTGGGACAGGAAAAACAAGCTCCATTGTTCGAATGTGGGAATTTAGTTATAGTCAGTGAGGGTGGGTTTGGTTATGGTTTAGGAATTTTTTTCCCTCGTGACAACAAGGCACAATGCTAACCTGAAGCATTTGGAAAGTAAGTTGACTTCAGTCCGTTGGTGTCAGACAGGAGGTTGGAGAGGGAGGAAGTGAGCGGCAGCAGGAAATTCCTCACCACCCTCCCCTGCCACAGCCCCACTTCTGAGCTCTGGGCCATACCAGGTAATGGAGGGCCAGAGTGGAGCTAGCCAAGTGAGCGCTTAGGATTTGGATAAAGCTCCTCTCTCCTGCAATACTACCTGGCATTTCTTGTAGTGGTCGTTGCTAGTACTTCAGTGAGATGACTCTTTCGTGTCTGGAGTCTTCCTAAATACTGTTGTGTCACCCACCCCCAGTTCGTGTGGGGTTGGCTTCGCCCCTATGATGAGATGAATTGTTTCTGTGCCCCCTTCTTTAAGTTATTCCAATAAAAAGCTTCACTTTGTGCCTGTGAAAGCAAAGGATTGGGAGGAAGAGATTACAGCCCCAGCTGCTGTCACTCTGCCCTCAGCCTGGGCTTAGCTGTCCCAGGTGCTGCATTCCCCAGACCTCTGACCCTTGGGCAAGTGGGGTGAACCAGGGGAAAGGGGGGAACCAGCCCCCAGGGCAGAGCGAGCCTGGGCTGCTTTGGAGTCTTTCCCTTTTTCCTGCCCCACCAGACCGGAGGGAATCGTGTCTTCCTGTCAGTAACATGGCACACCATGGCCAGGACTCTTGGCAGGAAGGAGGGACAGTGGGAGATAGGCGGTAGCATTCCAGAGAACCCGGTGGAGGGAGGCATGGGGGAGCAGGTTGAAAAGCCCTGCCCTCATGACTTGTCGTTCCCTGCTCTAGACTTAGCCAGATTTCAAGGACCATCCGACGTGCGAGGACTGTGTGATGGGACCAGTGCTTCTCAGAACAGGGCTGTCCGTGTGCCATTCCGTAGTCTCGTCCTCTGTGTTCACAGCTAGGTGGGCAACTGTTTGCTTTCCCTGTGGTTTACATGTATATGGGGTTCTTCTTAAGCTCTGGAGCTTTTTTGGTGTTTTTCCTCACCTAAACACTTCCTCTGGAATACTGTCCTTGCCCCTGGAAACCAGCACGTGTAGCCAGGTGTTCCTTTCCTGTATGCCACGAACTAGACTGGTTTAGGAAGGCTCTTGGTTTCAGTTAGGCAGCTCCTATTTTCAGCTGGAGATCAACACAAAATGGTTTCTCGTGTGTGTGTATAGTTTTGGATCTTAGGGAATGTAATAGAAGCAATCTAATTTTTCTCTTTAATTACTCACCTGGCATAGTAAGAAATCTACAATATATTTAGCATGACAACAGACTCATGATGGATTCATAAGTAAAATATTTGCAAGTCAATATTAACAATGTTTATTTTGTCTCTCAGTTTTAAAACTAGTCTTTTCTATTTCAAGGTATCTTGTCATGTAGAAAGAAAAGTAACTTTAAAAATTGTTAGAAATATTTTCGTAGCTATTTTCTGAGTCATTCACTGAATATTTCCAGAATTTGTATTTTTGGACCCTCTTTTCTCTATAGAATGTATTACCTGTGGCCCACTAAGAAAAAATGAAAAAAATGTTCCTATATTTGGATCACAACTGAAGTCATCTGCCAATTGTAACTCTTATTCTTTCAGTTCCGGTACTTACTGGCTTTATTATTTGGGGCAAGTTGTTTCACTTCTCGAGCTTTAGTCTTCTCATGTTAAAATATAAATAACAACATTAGCCTCCTTGGGCTTTGAGGATTAAATGTTAAAATGTACATAAGAGCATTTTATAAATTTTAAAGCGTTATATATCATTTTTATAGGTCAATACTTTAGGACATTTTGGCCACTTTTAGATTACTTCTTTGATACCTTGTTTTAATTTTCCTTACTGTGGGCTTAAGAGAAAAGAAACAGGACCACAAACTTAGCATTCTGACAAGCCACACAAATGCTGAGACCAAATGGTTCCTCATAAAGGGAGCGACCACCTGGGAAATAAAATGTTTGGCTTATGATAACTTCATCATAAAAAAGTTCTGATTTGTTAAGAATCGATGGACTTTAGCCAGAGGATAAACTTTAGCTGTGATATGTATGTGTGTGTATATGTGTGTGTATACATATATATACCCATAATTAAAATCAAGCCTCCAAGCTTTTGAATGACTAATTATCTGAGGCTAAAATTCCTTCTCCACTTTTCTTCACTTGCTAAATAAACATCTCTGTAAAAAGCCTAATTTAATGTGCTAAGAGAAATTTTGTATAGATTTATTTCTCCAAATCTACATGTGGTCATCCCAATATGGATATTGTAGGTGGAGAATTAAAAACTGAAAAAATTGAATACGCCAAGCACTGCCACCCATTAGACAATTGAAGTTAAAAATAGATGTGTTCATGCATCAGCAGATGGATTCATACCCAGATGACTTGATTCAGAATTCAGCCACGTATGACAGCTTGTTAAATGGAGTTTAACCAGCACAGACTTACTTAAAATTTATAATTGCATCGAAGCCCTCTATAGCATAAAACTAAAATTTAGTGATCAAATAAAATATTTTGTGTATTTGCATGTAAAGAATAATAATTTAGGATGTATCTTTTGGATTAATTTTAATAATGGGAAGATGCTTCCTATACCTAGCCTCATATTTTATATGCTAATGTTCATGGTATAGGCTAGCAGCCTGTGTTATATTTGTATTTGCTTCCTGTAATTACAAATTAAGATTGTGGAAAGAGTACTACCAAAATAAAACAACTGTTATGTAATTAGAAAACTGTATTTCCTCTGGACATTCAGTCTCTAGTTGTCCTAAAAATATACTCAGGTTTACATCAGCAAGCACTTGGCTCTGACAAACACTGGTAAATGGGACCATTGGATTTTTATTTCTTCCCGTGAAAACCAAATCATGTATCTGTGTAGTTAGATGAGTGCCTTGGCAGCAAAGTAAGTCACGTTAGCAGCATACTGGGTTTTAGTGTAATTACCTAATGGAAATATTCCTAAAGGCTAGAGGGCTGTACTGACCAGCTCATTTGTCATTTATTTTATAACAAAATTCCTTTTTGTGTGAGATAAGTGTGGGCGGTGGGAGTGGCAGCATAGTGTTTATGAGGTTTTAAAAAAATGAAATAATCGAGTGTGGCAGTCCTCCTCCTGAGAGGTTAAAGCCATTTGGCCCCTCCTGCGTGTAGATAATAGTGTCTCCAGTTATTACAGATCCCATCGGGCACGTGACCCAGATATATTTTCCTCAGTGCTGTGAAGCTGGTTGTCTCCCACAGTTTCCTTGCCTGTCTTGTTTCTATGGTAACCCTGCACTCACTGTCCTTGCAGAGAAACCCTAAAGCAGGCAGCAGCTCAGAAGTCCCAGCAGCTTTCAGCATTGCAAGAAGAGAACGTTAAACTTACTGAGGAGCTGGGGAGAAGCAAGGACGAAGTCACAAGTCATCAAAAGGTCAGTGTCCTTTGGTGAGGGTTTCCAGTTCTGCCATGCTGATGCTGTTCCTGTTGGCAGAGACTACTCAGATGAGCTCCATGTGGCTGGGTCATTCCAAATGGAATTTCAAGCTACCTGTGTTATGTCTCCTCCTTTTTAAGCATGCTGCTGTAGGATTTAGGGGTAGGAGTGAATTGACAGATCCTTTAAAAAAAAAAATCCATAAAACACTAGAACTTGTAAGCAAGTAGAAAATAAGATCTTGATTAGATGAACTTATAGTAATACATTTAAATGGGAAGAGGGACAATATCTTCTCCTTGCTACTCCTTGGATCTCAAAATTATTTTTCTCTTAAGGTGTTTTTCTCTCTTCGATCAAAATGGATTTTAAGGAAATAGATTCCAAGAATATGGTTTTGATGTGAAGGCTGGCAGCTGATTTAAAATAGAACTCTACTTTTCTTTAAAAATTTCCTCATGGACTATGTATACATGTGCACTATGTGCACTGATATATAGAGAGTGTGTGTTACAACTGGACTGAACTATAAGCAAATCACAACCTATTTGCTTCCATATTTAAATTATAGTTTTCTGACAGAAGTTAATTAAACATGAGAACAAAATCGATTTTTTTTTTTTTTGGAGGTCCCACCGAGATATGAACTCGGATCGCTGGATTCAAAGTCCAGAGTGCTAACCACAAAATCGATTTTAAAGAATGCCGTCTTCTGCTTTTTATGCTTCTCTGACAGTTGAATCAAAGTGCTGAATTATTAGTTATATCTGACCTCAGAGCAGCAGCTCGAAATTATGTTTGTAAGTGACTTTTGCTGTGTAGTCATTAAGTCTTGGTTTGTACTCTAAGGGGAAAAAATTTTTTTTCCTCTTTTTTTGTTGCAAACATCAATTCTCACTGAGGATGGAATAGTTTAGGGTAATTTTATTGAGTAGCCATTGACGTGGTGCAGTTTGTTGAGAAAGTACTTTTTGGAGAGTTGATTTCAGGCTTTAAAATCTTCATTATAGCTTTCCACAGTTTTCTTATTTCATGAAAGAATTGCCAGACTCCCAGATGATGATGATGCTAGTGGTGATAGTAACTAACATTTATTGGCTCTTACTATTTGACAGGCACAAATAAACAGTAGCTATCATCTCACTTAATCCCTACCATAATTCTAAGCGATGACACTATTATTATCTCCATTTGTAAAAGAGGAAACAAAAGCATGAAGAAGATAGTAATTTGCTCAGCATCGTTCAGCTAGTAGTGTCGAGAGCTGTTTGTCATCTTCTGATTTGGGTCCGGAAAAGAATCAAAGTGTGTTGACTCAGTTAGGGTCAGTGCACTCTCCTTTGATCCATCAGTTTGTGAGAAATTGGAGTTCATGAAGAATAGAAGCCCTTTGATCAAAAGTGGTGGTGGCTTTCCTGGCACAAGATAGAGCATCTAAAGCATTTGGCATCTCCAACATCCGCGTGTCCACAAGGACTTGGAAGAGAAGAATTTTGGCTGAGTGCTGAGTCTGCTTCCGTCTCAACGTATCTCATATCATTGAAGGTCTTTGGTAGAGAGTGCGTTCCATAAACAGGAAGAACACAGATCATCCTCGCGTCTGATGTTGTGACCTTTATCTGCATGGATGATTACAGTTCTTGCCTCTGTCATTCAGAACCAGAAGCGATTCAGGAAACATTGTGATTCCTTGGGCAGAGTTTCCAGGGCTTCTCTCCATCTCTGTTCTCTTTTGCATTAGGGATTTCAATTAGCTTCCTATTAAGAAGGTCTTGTGATTAAACGTTTCAAAATCAGTCACTTTGCAGGGGGTTCGAAAGTAATGCGTGCAAAGTACAGCTAAGAAAGTGATTTCCTTTTAAAGAATGAGATGGATTCTTAGGCCATTTGTACTTCTCTGTGTTTAGCTGAGAAGATAGAAACACATGGGTGTAAATTAAAACATGATAGACTTTGATGATGGAGATTGTTAAACATGGTATTGATTACTAAGCAAGATTACAGATCATTCTTCCCATGATATATATATTTCAAAAGAGTGGAGAAAATCACCCATAACTTAGAAGCAACCTTAGTTTATTGGAGACTGGTAGATTCATCAGGTTCTTATACTATTAACTGTATAGTCTCCAAGAATCTAGAGTCGTGTTTACTTCTGTAAAATTATGAATTTTTACTCAGTTACTTTTTGTAGTTAAGTCAAACTGTTGATCAGCTGTGTTAGAGATACTTACTTTCTCATTTCCTTAACAGCAGTTCTAAACCTTGCCACACTGTTCATTCTTACAACCCTGTCTTCTACTCTTTAAAAAATTTTCAAACTTTTAAAAAAATAATCTCTGCGTTATTTTTCACTTCCCATTTTTCCCCACTCCCTGCTATCTGCTTTTTGCCACTGCAGTGCAGTACACTCTGGGAGTGACTCTTGCTAAAGTCATCACTTACCTAGTAAGTGCAAAGACAAATGGCTTCCTTTGTATTCCCTGTGACCAGCTGGCACTACCACCACTCCCATTCCTGACTTTCCTCCTTTGCCTCCTTCCACCTGATTTACATGTATTTCTCCTGTGTCTCCTGCCACACCTAGTTACTTGCCATTCACACGTCTGCATTTATATCTTTTCTTCTCCCCTTCCCTGCTCATTGTTGGAGGCCCATCCCCAAAGATCATCACCCCTAACCTCAAGCAGAGTGCTCTGCTGCCTTCCTGTGTTCATGCTGTGGGCTCCACAGTTCCCTTGCACCAGAACACTGTGTCCTGGCCAGTGGTCGCGAGCTCCTGCTTCTCTCTTCACACAGACTGTGAGAAAGTAGGAATCGTAGAGCATGTCATGTAGATTTGAATGAGAAGCATGTGAGTGTTGGATGAGTACTTTGTTTTTAGCAAGGGCTCCAGGTCTTCTTTCATAGAATAAGGTGCAAAGGCTTTGTGACCGCTCTTTCTACTTTTTTACGTGATTCCAGTCACTTCCAGTCTCACAGTTTTGTTGCAGAGTTATGGTTGCCAAAAAGCCTGATCGCCAAATAAGTGGGGCATTTGCTGTGTGTGGGTGGTAGAAGCATACGGCGTGAATTCAGCCAGGGTCATGCAGTTCCAAGATTAATGGAAACCATACAGAGCATTATTTTCTTTTCATAGGGAATTCTAAAAATAATAATGTTAGCTCTGCTATAGAAATAGTCACGTTAGGTAGTCACTTTTGATGTCTGATTTATCATTTCTAAACCTCACATGTATTCTACCTTCTAAGGATAGCCGACACACTGAGCTGTCACTATGGGAACAGTACTGATTTTCCCCCTGGCTCTTTGCAAAATGAGGTTACAGTTTGCTGTAGAAACTGGACAGGGATTAGATGACTCAATAACTGTATTTCATAAGCAGTTTTTCTTGACAGATTACAGCAGATGCATTAATATACAAAAAACTGAGGTTAGCATCTAAATTGACCCACAAATAACTACCTACCTTTTAAATGAGCCTAACTTCCCAGACATGAATGTTCAGAAAGGGAAAGCTGTTTTTAGCCTGTCACATATTACTGTGGAAAATGATGATCAGCATCATAGTTTTAATCTGGTCTCAGGACCTCTGGGCAACCAGGGCTAACGGAAGCTGGATCACAGACTCTCTCTTCCTTCAATACTTAATGATACGAACACAGTTTTTCTGTATTTAAGCAGCAGAAGGCAACAAAGCCAGTCAGCTTCATGCTGTAAACTTTAAAACTGGCAACCAAGAAAAGCAGCAAAACTGTGGTTTGACTCCTACTCTGTGTCCCAGTGGCAAGTGGACAAGAAGGTGAACAGTGAAATACTGGGAGTTTTTACTCTAATTCTCCCATCCCTGTGCCCAGTCCAGCTTGGAAAAATTATACTATCTTCAGTAGATGTGAGCAGGCAGCCTGGGGAAAAGGTCACAGAAAAATTTTTGTGGCTAGAGGCCCTCTTCTACCACCTGAGGATTTCACAAGAGGTGGGGAAAACTGCCACTTGTCATTTTCCACAGCTAGTCTAGCCAACATATGGTGGCTGATGGACGCGGGGCACTGGGGCTGTTTTTCTCAAATGCTAATCCACAGGTGGCAGTCCAGGGAGGGTACAGCCTCTCAAGATATCCTCACGGAACCCGCCTCTTCCTTTCTGCCCTGCTGCTGTCCTTGGCGTGCAACTTTTGTCCATGTGATACCGGGTGGCTGTTGTGCCTCAGAAAGCTTTCCAAGAGGAAGCAGGGGGAGGACAAAGTAGCGAAAGGCAGAGGGCTGCTTCTCACGTGGTTTTGTGCTTTAATTTGGGGAAGGAAGTTCAGATCTCTGTAACAGTGTCACATAACCACCTCCACCCACAATAGAGGCTGGGTTCTAGTCTCTGGGAAGGGAAGAGGACACAGCAGGTGAGAGCAGAAGTTGAGAGTACAGTGGTGGGGTACCTGGAACGTGTGCCCCAAGGCTGAAGCCTGAGGACATTGTCCTGTGGGAATAGGATCACTTCTGTTCAGGAGGAGTGAATGAGGCACAGACACTAAAGAAGACTCTCAGGAAGGAGATCTCCAACAGATTCTACGTGTGGCCTCAACTCTTCCCGCTTTCCCTGTCCTTGCCTCTGTCCCAGGGCCCTCTGGCTACAGGCATGTATAGACTGCAGTGCTGAACTTGTCAGCTGTAGCTTGGAGAGGAAGATAAAGGGCTCAGATAAGGTAGGGAGGTGTCAGGGGAAACTCATATGATATGTGAGCAGATAGAAGGTCCAGGTAGTCCATAATAAGATGAACCATTGCATACATAGTGTACCAAAAGAGGAAAAAAAGGAACATACGGATCCAAAGAGAAACGAGGAATTTAGGCCATGAGAAAACATTACCCAGAGGAAGATATTGCTTTGTGTTATGTAAAACTTAAGTTATTTGAATAAAACAACTGTTTAAAGAGATGATAGAACATCACAGTAAGTTAAAGAGATAAAGAAACAAGTTGAAGACCAAACCACATCATATCAGA